CAAACACGCACAAACACGCACAAACACGCACAAACACACACACCCACCCACCCACCCACACACACAAACACACACACACACACACACCCACCCACCCACCCACGCATGCACGCACGCACGCACGCACGCACCCACACACACACACACACACACACGCACCCACACACACGCGCGCGCGCATGCTTGTACGCGCGCACGTGCGCACGCGAGCACGCGCGCACGCGCGCGCACACGCACGCACACGCACACGCACACGCACGACGCGCGCACACGCACGCACACGCACACGCACGCACGCACGCGCATGCAGGCACACGAACGCACACGCGCGCACACGCACGCATGCGCGCACACACACGCAAGCAAGCAAGCAAGCAAGCAAGCAAGCAAGCAAGCAAGCAAGCAAGCAAGCAAGCAAGCAAGCAAGCAAGCAAGCAAGCAAGCAAGCAAGCAAGCAAGCAAGCAAGCAAGCAAGCAAGCAAGCAAGCAAGCAAGCAAGCAAGCAAGCAAGCAAGCAAGCAAGCAAGCAAGCAAGCAGGCACGCGCGCAGGCAGGCACGCACGCACGCACGCACGCACGCAGGCACACACAGACACAAACTCCTAGTTTCGGATCCTTCTGCTGGTCAGAATTTGAACTTAAACCGTAACGCGCTGGCCTTAAACCCAAGCCTACACCCTAATTTTGTTAGCCCAAGCCAACACCAAAGCCTCCAACGGTTGACTCCAAACCAGCACCTGAACGAAAGAACTGTTGGCCGTTAAAGCGACGTCTACATCCTAAACTGTTGGCCGTGAGCCGGTACCTAAACCCTAAACTGTTTCACCCTGTTTCACCCTAAGCCAGCACCTCAATCCCAAACTGTTGGCCCCAAACCGCCACCCAACCCCTAAACTGTTGACGCCAAACCAACATCTAAACCTTAAAATGTTGACCCCAACCAACACCTAGACACCCCAAACTGTATCACCTCAGACCAACATCTAAACCCTAAACTACTGCCCCAAAACCAACACCTAACCCCGAAACTGATGACCCTAAGCCGACACCTAAACCCTAAGACTCTCAAACACCAAAACCCTAGTATACATACATTTATATATATATATAAATGTTTGTCGTATGACGGGTGCACCCGCAGGGGGCTTTCTTAAGACTTTCTTTTCAGTTCTCTGCGCTTCCCGGACTGTTGCCCGGCCTGAAACCAGCGCCTAAACCATACCCTAAACTGTTGAGCAACAGCTGTATGCTGAATTGTTGGCCCAAAACCAACACCGAGACCCTCAAACGTTGACCCTCAACCAGCACCTAACCAGCACCTAAACTGTTGACCTTCAACTGGCGTGACTAAACCAACACCAAAGCTGTTGCCTCGTTCACTATCCTCAGCCGGTTTCAGAGTGGTTTTCCCGGGGCACTTGCTTGCGTTTGCCCGGCTATTTCTCCACGCCTGCAAACAGCTGACGCGCAATTGGCACCTGCCACGTGATCTCTTATGTGTGGTGGTCGAAAGTAAAGGCTGGGACGAACATGACTTTACCCCGGCACGCCCTTGAAAAGGATTCTTCACATATGTTAAACCTGCGCATCATTTTGTTGCCGATGTTTCGATGAATCAGAACCTTTCAAAACAACACCCTTTGTCAGGTTTCGTTTTCCCACTCTTGGTGAAAGTAGACGGCACGATGCGCTTCAGGACCGTCAATAAACAATATTTCCTCACACTCACACTGAGCAGAGGAGAGCCAAACCGAAGTTTTCCGGGTCAGAGGTGTTCCGCCCTTTTGATGCCCAACAAAGCCTTGCGCCAGGAGGAAGCTTTGGAGCGCAGCCGGCGCATGCGAAACCACCACGCAGCGCTCAGCGAGAGCTCGTTGCGCTACTGGCGCAAAGCTTTGGCCGAGGCGAATTCAATTTGATTGCTTGTGTTGCCACCAGGTCAGTCAGCTAAACCCCTTGCCAAAAGGCTCAGACCTCCAGCTGTACTTCATTTGCAGTGGGTTTCCTGCAAAATGAATAAGGAAACTGTCGTCGCCTCTTTGGGCGGTGCAGGTCTGGAAATCTTGGTTGATGTTGAAGCAAAGGCGGATTGAACACGTGCACGCCGATCCTTGGCACTGCCAGGCTGTGGCGACAGGATAAAGCCGATCCCACGGATCAAATCCGAGTTGGGAGAAAATCGCAGGCTGAGCGCGTGAGCTGGGGGAATTCTATGCCTGGCCGTCCCAAAGGAACCCCAGTGTTTTCCACAGCTCTCAAGGATGTCACCAGATTTTGCGTGGGTGGGTCTTTTCTGAACCCTTGTAGAAAGATATCTCTTACTGCCCGGTGCCAAAGCTCTGCTGCAAGCTCCCCAAATCTGAGCATGGTTGCGGAACCTTTGGGTGTTCAAAGCTTTGTGGTACCAAGGAAATTTGCATAAGGCGACGAAGTTCTGGACGGGAAAAAGCCACACATTTCTCCAGGGTGTAAGTAGCATGGCGCATTCCTTCATATCGGTAAGTAGCGGGCTGATCAGAACGAAATGGCAAGGGAAATTCTGCCCTGTGCTTTTACGCGGGCCAGCGGAGTTGCAAAAGTTGGTGCCGAGGCTGTCGAGACAGAGAGGAGCTGCGACACAAGATGCGCATGACCGTGGCCACGTTCTCAGATCTGCCGGGGGCATGTTCACGACGGGTTGTTCCCTATTACTGCACTTGTTGCATGCCCAAAGCATCGATGAGTCTGGGGCTCGTGTTGGTTTTTGGAACGGATAGCATCAGCTTCTCACCACGTGTGCGAAGGCCGGGGATGCATGCGCTGTTGGGGATATCACCTGAGCTTAGCACACAGTACAAACGCTGTTCCAACCTCACCTCCTATATCCACAGGGGGATTAAAAACAAAAAAACAAAATGCAGACCGAAGGGTCGCCTGGCTGGGGGAATGTGGGGTGTGTAATCTGTTTCTTGTTATCCTAGTTTTGGCGGGCTGTCCCCGCACTACCGCACAACAAATGCACACAAGTGCACTCCAAGGGGTGTCTTGTTTTGTTGTGTTTCCCTTCTTGGGAACATGTCCATGTAGATGGCAACCCGGTTTTGATCTTAAAGGTGCTTCACGTTGGGGTCCTTCGCACAGGCTCAAGGTTTAGGGTTTAGGACCGCTGGGGGGCTTGTGCGTCGAGCAGTCAAGCGAACTTGCAACTCGAAGGCTCAGAAGGTCTGGGAGGTCGCGGGAAAACACCATGGATTACTCCCTTGATCACCAAGGCCGAATTCCAAGCGCCCAGGCAAAACAGCAAGAAGGTCGCGATGCCCTTTGCTTGGGGTTAAGAGGAATCCTGTCCAGATATGCTCGCCACTTGAAGGGCATGGCGTCATGTTTTGGGGTGCCTATTTCTTGTTTTTCAAAAAGAGAACGCAAATGAGACCTGCGCTGGCCCGGCTGAGTCGGAAGTCGACGCAGCAACCACCCGTGCGCGGGAGTTGGAAATGGACTGGCCAGCTTTGCTGGTCGGGGGGGGGGGGGGGAGGGCAGGTGTGGGTTGTGGCACGGAGCTTTGTACGCCACCATCGTAAGTTGACGCAGTTCTGGCAAATGATTCTTACCCGAGATATAGCTGCCGAATTGCAATAACTGGTTGGGCGCTAGAAGCCGGCATGGCATGGATAAGCTGAGTTTGCTTTGCGAACTTTCTGGAGGGTCGCCGGAGAACCTCAACACAAAAGCCACTGATCAGCGTGGCAGGGGCGCGGACTTGTAGTTTTGTGCCTTGCGCATATGGTAAGGATAGGCGTGGCATGGCGTGGCGCGGTTCCGGCTGGAACGGAACTCGCAGGGCAGCGTTTAGTTTAGCTGCCAATGACAATGATTCAATGGCAATTCACCCAACGAGGAAGCAGTGCACATGTCCAGCGCTGCGTGTCAGAAGTATTAAATCGCAAAGGCTTACGGGTTCGTTGCCAAGGGCCCATTCAAAATTGTCAGACGCTTGCGCGGGCAAGCCGGGGTTTTATTTGTTTTTGCACTTGCCAGGTATCATTAGAGGTCCTGTGGCCCAGTGGTTCAAACATCGCCTTGGCGGGAGATGTTCCCAGGAGACATAGAAGGGCGCTGTTAACTATGGGTTGTAGTGGAAACGTGCGGAGGACATCTCAAGATGGCAAGCCTGGGCAGAGGAGGCTGGCAGTTGGCAGCGGGTTCAAGGATCGAAAGCGAATCGATGGAATAAACCGGTTTAGAGGTCGTACAAGAACACACCTGGTGGGTGTTTGCTTCCTGCCGCTTAATGAGCACTGTGCAAAGTCATGCTCGTGACTGCGGATGCTTCGTGCGTGGCAGCGTGGACCGAGGTGGCTGGGGACCACCAGGAGGTATCCTCTCAGCTTCAATCCGTGCAGCGAAGGCACGGAGTTTTTCCCTGGAGCTGACGTCCGCCCAGGTCTGAAATTTTGCTGGGATGTTGGCTGTTTCCAGGAAGGATCAAAGTAAGCTTGCTTTGCCACCTGCTTGGGGCTGACTTTCAGAATGGCAGCTAGGATAATGTGTGCTTGGCAAGCCACGGAGCATGATAAATTTCCGGCGCTGCGAAAATGAGCCTGCTTGTAGGAAGAATGCGCCCAGTGGAGATGCACATGTGTTTGGCGACTTGAAAATTCGGAAAGAGATACCAAGTTCCACATGAGCCGGCACGAACCTTCTGAAATGTCCTCAACAGCGAGTTTCTAGGAGGAGATTCACCCAAAACAGCTCCAACCTTGCAATTCCATGTAGGCATTTCGATTTTCTTGCTTGCTCCAAACCATGTGGTTACCTTTGACTGTGAGACCAACCAATGTGAACCATCTGTAGTCGTTGCGATTTGTTCGACAGGGAGAGAAGCAGCGGACTTTTCGCAACCACCTTTTCCATGCTGGCTCAAAGCTGACGTCTTTGCGCGTGGCTCCGGACCGCCCTTTCTCCTTCTTTATTTCTGATCGGAACCGCCCAACTGAGCTATATCAGAAAATTAGACAGGGCAAATCCGCGGAAAGCCATGAGGTTCTGGATCCTTTGAACAGTTCTAGTCACCTTCTCAACCTGAGAACTCGGGCCACTAAGTTTGCCAATGTGCTACAAAACCACCTGGGCAAAATAAACGCACCCATGATACAAGCGCCTTTGCGGGCTTTGCGCTTCAATCAATCTGTTAAGTACGGTTGGTTCCCTTGACATGGCAAGTGAATCAGCCACATGCAACCACAAAGCGGCGCCATATGCGGTCATTTTGCAAGGCTTCCCTTGGGCCCTTTGCAGCCCGCCAATGTTTCACTTTTCAGCAACTGGGCAGGCTGACAGAGCTCAACCAGCTGTTAGCAATTGCTGCTTGCTTTGCAATGGACGGGCTTCGGGTGCGGTTTAAAGCACGCCCTTTACATAAGGTGCCCTTGTTGCCAACGGTTACCACGGAGCCATGGTCTCCTCCCAAATGCTTCAGGGACCTTCAGTGTCCGACCACCTCCCGGGTTTAGACGGTTCATAGAACATAGAGTCGGCAGCCACGCCGTCTATACCTTGTTTGCTTAAGATTTATGGGGACCTACAACCTACTCCCTGCGCTTAAGAGGCCTTGAATTGGTCATCCATGCCTGTCCACGACCGGCAGAAGGACAATGCTGAAGTGGGAAGGACATCTTTGCAAACACCCTAGCCCTAGTAAGCCTTTCATCCGCAAACGGCTTAAAGGGTTGAGCCTCTAAAAAAGTCACCCAGCCCAGTGGGAGCAACGCTTTTCAACTTGCGGCCTGCCCTTTCAACAGCCTTGGAAGAATCTGCACGCCCCGGAGGAGGTAGAAGTTCTTGGAGGAGTCCATTTAACCGCAAGAACAAAGCAAAAAAAAAACGTCGCAAGCGTAACAACCTTCAGGATACGGCTCCAGGATCTCCGCAAAAACGCCCGCGCCGGCGCTCAGGAGCGGGAACGCGCCTCGGATTTGGAGGGCAAGGTGCGTGCCAAGGAGATCCGCTGAAAACTTTTGGAGGGAACCCAGTGACCGCAAGCGGAACTTTCGCAAGTGGGGAAGTTTATCTCACTTAGTTCCTGGGCTTGAGCTTTTGTGCAAGACCATTTCCTACTGATAGATACAACGTTTGGACTTTGTTTGGCCAATCCACTCAGGAGGTGAGCCATCAAAGTGGCAAGCAAGTGGGACTTCTGACCAGCGCCATGGAACGTGCGCAGGACCAAGAGCTTCAGCAGAAGGGCCAGGCTGAGACACAGCTGGAAGTTCAGAAGGGAGAGCAACCCGGCTAAGTCTTGGCCCAAACTCCAGAAGCCCCCCCTAGCAAACCAGTTTAATTGTTTAGTATTGCTGGAGTTTCTTTTTTGCTTTTTTTTTTTTAAAGTTTCCATTTTGGTTTAGTATTGGTGGACATGAGTTTCCACTCGATTCAAGTATGGCTGGAGCGTCGTCTTGAGATGCAGATTTGAGTTTCCACTTAGTTCAATTTTGCTAGAGTATCCATTTCAATTTGTGCTTTGAGTTTATGGCGGGCTTGAGTTTTCATTTGATTCAGTTTTGCTGAGGCTTCCTTCGAGAATTTGACTTTCCCTTTGATGCAATATTCGTGGGGCATCCTTTGAGATAGTGATTTGAGCTTTCATTTGGTTTAATATGGCTAGAGCTTCCATTTGAGATTTTGATGCCCCTGCAATAGCGTCAAATTGCGGCCGAACATGTGTGACTTTTTTCCCCTGTGAGCAGGCCCAAACCAAACAACGAAGCCTGAAGCTTCACCAGCACCACCTGGACTGTTCAATTATTCAGCTGAGATTTTATCCTGGGCAAGGTGTGTTTTTCCAGGGGGGAGACAGCAAAACTTTGTGATGGGGGCCCTTGAAAAACGTAATTGCTGAACTTAAATTTGGGGGGCCTGAAGTAGTGTTTTCGGGCTTAATTGCGGGCAGTTTTCAATCAAGGGATGTGTAAGAAAAAAGCGCGTGCCTCCCAAACGAATGGTGGGAGCTGCTGCGTGCATGACGGATGGCTGGTTTTTGGCGGATCCTTCGCTGCGTCATGTTGGAAGCCATTGGGTTTTCAATTGGCCCCCAGCCTCAAAGGAAACGACGCAAAACGCCAGCTGAAGACCCACAGCCTTTCATCCAGGTACGAGCGCCAGCTGTCTCAGCTCCGGTCAGCGGCACTGGATCTTCAATCCGGCAGGGCGCAGGAGCGAGTCGAGTTTCGAAGGCCCTGGGCCCAGCCCTTCCGTTCGCATCTTTAAGGCATTGCGCAGGGTTCTTCTTGAAAAGTCGCCAAACTCGCGTGAGCACTACACGAGCACACTCGCCGGAGAAAACTTGCGAGCAACATTATCTTTTCAGGCGGCGCAGTGGGACCGAGCCCGCTCTGCGAAAAGTGGTGTCTTTGCTCGGATCGCCGTGGTCGATGTGGCGAAACAGCTTTCAAAGATCACTTCCACACAGCACGTGCGCGAAGCAACTTGCACACTTGCACGAGATTCATATTGGCTTTGCAGTGCCCATGTCGCGCGGGAAAGCAAAGACCGAGTTTAACCTCTCATTTGCAATTGTTATGCTTCCAAGCCACCCTTTCTTCACTTTCTTGGGGGTTTTACTTCAAAACAAATTACAACAGAAAAGGCACCCCTTTGGCGTCCTGTCTCAGCCGAAAAGCGTTGGTGAACCTTTCAGGGGCGCATGTTCCAAGGGCTTTTGGAGCACTCCTGGCGACGGGAATGCTTCATTGAGCAATGTGAGGTGTGTTCGTTTGCTTGAAAGGCCCATATACCCTCCACACACACACACCCTCCATCCTACGGGCAGGGACGCCCAGTCCAGCGGCGCCCCTTGAATTGGACCCGCAAAACAATTGGTCTTCTTTGGAGCAGGACTTGGAGCGGGAGTTGCAGACTGCCTATCAGAAGAACGCAGAGCTCCAGGCGCGGGCTCTGAGGAAATGGGGCCAAACGGAAGCCAATGGGCCGGCGTGTGCGAGTTTTGGTGGACCCAGTATAGTGAGGTGTCCTTTTGGTTTCCCGACAAAAAGAAGTCGTTTCTCACATCCTGCGGTCCTGCGCTGGGAAAGTCAAGAGCGCCCATTTCACTGCTAGACGTAGAAGACCTTTTGAGTTGGTCGCCTTTTGCAGTGCCCAAAGCTGCAGGCGAGAGAGAGAGAGCGAGAGATAGTTATATGTATGTATAGACATATATATATATGGTATCCCCCCTCTCCACCCCCAGGGACGTACCTTTTTCAGGTCTCCACTGGTATGTGTGGTGTGTGTTTTACTTTTTTTGGTGCTTTTGGGGAAGGCAGGAAGAAATACACACATGTGTGTGATGTGTGTATGTGCGAAGCACATGCAGCCACTGCGCCCCAACGGAGGACCAGGCGCTCTAGCACAAGCAAGCGCTCTATTCGTGCGTGCCACGCGTGACCGTGAAAATGTTTGCTCCCTTTGGTTTGCTTTCAGACTCCCAAAACGGTTTCTGCGCCCTGAACAACGGCTGCGACTGCGTTGTAGGGCAAGAAATGAAGATTTGATGTAAAACTGGCTCACGCTAGGCGAAATGTTTCCGCTTGGCGTTTACTGTGTTTTGCAGATAGGCCGTTTTGTGTGAGAGCCTGTTCAGTCGTTCGGGTGTTGTTTTGCAAAATTAGGTGGCACTGGTAAGTGAATCAACCGCGACGCAGCAGGGCTCGCGGACCAAAATGGGAGGTTATTCGATTTCCAGCCCCCATCGGGACGCCCACGCGCAGTGGTTCAAGGCAATGATGGAGCGGAAGCAGAGGGACTTGGATTCACAGGCAGCTGCGCATTGCGAGGCGGGGGTGCGAGGGCGGCCAGAATCCCCAGATCAGAACCCCAAACAGAAGGCTTGTGAGGAGATTCTAAAACATGGCGGCTCCTTTTTGAAGGTAACATGGAGTCCAAAACGCACACGCCTAGGAACGAAATCTCCTTGGGTCATGAACCCCTTTTTGAGCGCCATGCAAAATTGTTGGGGAGTACGATGGCCGCTTGCCAGTTTAGCACTTGGTACTAGCGAGCTCAACGAACTGAGTGATCTTAAGCTGCAATCTCAAGCGAATGGGCCAAATGGTGGCTTTGCTATGGGCCGACGCTTGGCAACATCTTACTTTGCCCCTTGAAACAAGTGATGGACAAATGAGGCAAATCCTAGGTCTAGGGTTGAAGTTTGACTATCCGGATGATGCGTCACGAATTGCCGAATTGATCTGAAATGTGTCATGCCTTGAACTCTGCTGGGGGAAGCGTGCTAGAGTTTGCCACCGGCATGATCGCCTGAATCAAGATGTGATATCACCCCTTGCTTATAGTTGTCACGTTGTTGCCCATGTAGCTTATAGTTGTCACGTGATTTGTTGGTAGAAAGCCTACCTAAGACTTTAAGAGTTTCTTTCGGAATACTCATGACCGAGTTGCGACATGTGCAGAGAGAGGCGTTGATATGCCACATTGCTCAGGATGGTTAACAGCACGCGTTCCGCTCTTTGAGAGGCAGACGGTGACCTCTGAATTTCTCCTGGAAGTTTTTCTTGTGATTTCTGAGGACTGGGGACATGGGAATCGTAGCGCTCAAAGAGCGGGAGCTCTTTGGGCGCTTTCGTTTGCTCCCCAGATTCCCCTTTGTTTTATGACCTGGTCGGCCCTGACAAGATGAATGCTTTTTGGGTTGGGGCGATGTTATGCTGGGATGATCTCAGGATTTTCCAATCAAGAGTGTTCCCTTCCTTCACCTTGCGGGAAGCAGCCACGATTGACCCGCAGCATGCCGCAGGCACTGAGCAGCGCCCTGGCAAGGGCCCTCGCGCTGGAGCAGCAGCTGGACCAGCGCGCCACGGAGACCCGCGCCTGGGCCGAAACGGGAGGATGACCTCGCGGACGCACTTCCCCGGTGTTTGGTACGCCAGAAATGCCGGGTCCCATGAAGTTCCCCAGTTTCTGGGAGGATCACTTTAACGGGAAAGAAATTCAGACTTTGGGCGAAGAACCCAATTGGGTCTGAACACCTCCAGACTGGAGGTTTGGGCTTTGAAGAGGGAGAGCCGCCATTTTGGTGGCCCCCTTTGGTTGTCCATTTGCCGAGGCTCGTGTTTGTTTGAGCCTGTTCGTTTTTGGGAATTTGTGATGACTTGCAAGTGTCTCATGTGTTGGAAGGCTGGCAACTGGTAGGGGTCCTTGCAGGCCCGGTTGCTTGTGGAAGTCAGCAACATCCAGGCCCATCTTCATGCACAGAAGTAGATACCTATTTCTGCATGTTTGTGTTTTGTGGTGTGTTGAGGGGAACCTGCTGGGTTGGCTTGGAAGGGATGCCAAAAGGAAGGACCATTTATTGGGATCATGCTTGTTCAAGGCAAGTGTTTGTTGCTGCAAGTGTCGGCCTGTTTCATCATTTTGTCGGTGGAGTCCCGCAGAGGAAGTGGCGGCTTGCTTGTTGTCATGGCACCCCAACCAATAATCTACTTGTTGCACGCGTTGCCTTCTTGTGGCTGCGGCAATTACAAGATACCGCTTGTGTTTCTCACAAGGATCAGGCCCACCTGCAGCCATTGCGACCCGAGAGGTGGCCAGTGGGTTGTTTTTCACCCCGCACACTTTGGGCAAGTGAGATGAGATGTTTTTGGCGCAATGAATTACAATAGACAGAACCCTGAAAATTCATGGTCCCAGCTTCCCTTTCCAGCAAATTGGCTTTCAACTTCATTTGGAGTCACACACACCCCCCCCCCGCACTCCTCCGGGTCGCAGGGGCTTTGACGCAGTCCTCCCAGACCTTGGAGCAGGAGCTGCAAGCGCAACGCCGCCCGAGGGCCCAGTCCGACCCAGAAGACAAGGACCATCTTGGTCGGCAAATCCACCGAATCTCTCCTGTTGGGCGTTCTTTTTGGCAAATTCAAAGCTTCTTGTTACGGTCGCAAGATGCGAGCCTTTTACTTGGCCCTAGCCTGTGTGGCCTTCATTTATCAGGACCCCATGTTTGGTGTCCTTATCCTTGTAAAGTTTACCTTGGAAGCCAGGTTAGCTTGAGCCGGTTCATTGTGACACTCGAGGCCAGCACGAGGAGCAGCAGGCGGAACTTCAGAGGCAGCACGCCCGGGCCAAAGCCCTGGAGGCCGATCCCGGCGTGAGGGAACTGGCCTTCCTAGCTCCATGGAGAATTGGCATGTCTGAACGCCGAGTGAGGAATCCAATATCATGGGCACAGTCTCTTTGCCACAGACTGGGGTTGCTTCCTTTCTTCGGCCCGGCGCTTTGCACGAGCATGCGCAAGTTTGCGGCAGAACGTAGGATTTTGGGCGACTTTTGGTGGACCAAGGGAAGTTTCAACACCCGTGCAGGCCGATGCACAGGCAAGGGCGGAGCAATGCTTGGGAGCCCAGACTCGCAGGTCGAGGGCAATGGAGGCGGTTTTGTGAAGCACGATCAAAATATCCGGATGGGGGGGGAGGTTCGCTAATCTTCCATCGTCCTTCGTGGGAGCCGCATATTTTGCCCGTGGCTCTTTGGCCCCACTCAGAATCCGATATATCCCCCTTGCGCAACCCTGGTTCCAAGCGGACTTCCACTACCTCCGAACTCCCCCTGACAAAACGGAGTCCGCCATGTGTTGGCTGTATACCCCGCTTGCAGATTGAGATGAAAGCGCGAAGACCCTCGTTTGCCTTGTCTCCTGCTTGCTTATGCTCAGACGGCGCAAGCTGCTATGCTGAGTTGGCCGGGGGCGTCCTTTTGTTTCCATTTGGTAGCGCCCTGACGTCCCAGCAGAGCAATGATTCAAACTTGCAGGACAGTCTTCGTTTGGCATTGTGAACGCCAATCAGCTTGAAGTCTATTTGTTAAAGCAGCCCCCATGCGCACACGAAAGTCCCAGGGTACCAGCGCAGTAAAACAGCACACACACACACACCAGGATCGCTCCAGAATTACAATTTGTCGCCAAACGTTCTTCTGAATTGGGATGGATCAAAACCGCACAGGTGTTTGTTTGAACCGTTGCCCATGATGGAGCTGTCAAACGCTCCTTTCTTGGATCCATTTCTTGTATTAGGCTAGTACTGCGTTCCAGGTGCAAGTGTTTTGGAGAAGGTTTTTTTTTGTTTTTTACTTCAGTGAATTTAGACCAACCTGCGCAGAGAAGATGTCATGGGAATGAGCCACAAATTAGTCCGGGATGTAAGTAGGGTGGCACAGTTCCCTTGATATTGCTAAGTAACAGGTGGAGTCCGAAATGGCGTGGAAGTTATGCTTTGTGCTTTTACCCATGGTGGGTGCCGAGGCTGTCGAGACAGGGAGGACCTGCGACACAACGTGCACATGACCGTGGCCACGTTCTCAGATCTGCCGGGAACATGTTCATGACGGGCATTGGCATTCTGATATACCCCCGCTTGGCAAGTGGCTAAAGCGTAGATTGCAACGGGTGAGGGCGAACTCGAATCCAACACTAGGCTTGCCTTGCAACATTTAAGCTCACCAAGAAAGGCATTGATGTTGGCACTTGATTAATAAAGGGCCCCCCCCCCCTCCCCTGAACAATGGAGGCGCCAAAATAATGGGGGTGCACTTTTTGGAATTCTACTTTAGTATTGCAACCACTTCTTCCTGAGCATACTTTTTGGAATACTACTTTAGTATTGCAACCACTTCCCTTTCAGTTCTTTCTGTAGCCATTCAAAGGGGTGTGCCTTTCTGCAAGTGGGCCACCAATTGAAAGGGGAATGCTTTTGAGCAAAGCAAGTGATAGTTTATTTTCTGGGAGGGGGGGCTGGGGGCTTGCCACTATTGTGGCCCCCTAAAACAATCACATTATTGTGGTTCAGTGGGGTCTGTGAGGGGTACCCTTGTCCTGATTGTTTTTTTGCATTTTTTAGCACGGTTTAATAAAGAGTTTGCAGTTTCAGGGCTGGGGATGGTTTTCAAATTTCAGAGTTTCAGCTGGCTTTGGGTTCTGTGGTTGAGCAACCAATTGAAAGGGGAATGCTGTTAAGCAAGTGGGCCACCAATTGAAAGGGGATGCTTTTAAGCAAGTGGGCCACCAATTGAAAGGGGAATGCTTTTGAGCAAAGCAAGTGATAGTTTATTTTCTGGGAGGGGGGGCTGGGGGCTTGCCACTATTGTGGTTCCCTAAAACAATCACATTATTGTGGTTCAGTGGGGTCTGTGAGGGGTACCCTTGTTTTGATTGTTTTTTTTTTGCATTTTTTTTAGCACGGTTTAATAAAGAGTTTGCAGTTTCAGGGCTGGGGATGGTTTTCAAATTTCTGAGGTACACAATCTTCAGCTTGTTGCTGAAGGAGATTCAGAGTTTGGGGGGGGGATGGTTTTTTTAATTAAATTTGCTTTGTGGAGTTTTTTTTGGAATTTTCCCCCTGGCCAAAAAAACTTTCTATATACAATGGGTGTGAACCAGAATAAGGAAAAAACTGTCTATTATTCCGGTACCCTTTACTAATCGAATGCCAACATTAGTGAGTGGGGATTTGGGATTGGCCAGGCTCCGGAGGTTCCAACAGAAGTTACTGGATAAGGTTGCCGTGAACAGTGCTGACCCCAACTGGCTCCAACAGAGGTTTGGCCTGAATCAATGCCCGTGGCAGCTGGCCATCATTCGGAGACGTGTTTCGCAACCTCAAAGGGGTAGCTTTCCAATTGACGGGCGCCCCTTGTTCGGATTGACTCTCTTTCGGGGGGAGGCAAACCGGCGCGGAGGGAACCCAAAGGTTTCCTCAGGACCGGATGCGCCGAACCGCGGAGCTTCTGGAGCTCTTCTCCCAGGACTGCGGAAGCGCGTGCGCAACCCTGGGTGGGTGTCCTTCGAGGCCAAAGGCAACCTTTTCATTTTGTTCAACGCCGGGAAACCAAGAGGAACACATCATTTTGTGGGTCCGCATGTTTGACACACACACACACACACACACTCCCCGGATGCGTGACTGGCGGCAGGAAAGTTATTTTGCCCCACCCGCCATATTTCTTTTCCGGAGCCCATGAAGCCCCCAAAAGAGACGAGTTTGTTTGTTCAATACGAACGCCCTGGCTCTCCCACCAAGTAAGGTTGCGTTGTTGATGCGGGATCCTTCCCGTTCAGGCTGATGTCAGCGCTGCCACTGCTGGGGGCTCGGGCCTGCTTCTTCTGCAGTCAAGCCAGAGGGTCCGAAAGGTCGGGGCAAAAAACCATGGATTACTCCCCTGATTGCCAAGCCCGAACAGAACTCGGATCCCGAAGTAGGAGATTCTTCGAAACACTCAGGCGGATAGGAAGGTAGCGATGCCCCTTTGAATAGTGCCAAGAAGAATCCCTTCAAGGGCTCGATCCATAGGACGCTTTCGTTTTGAAGGGGATGGTGGCATTGAGGGTTTGTTTTTGCTGTGTGATGTTTACATGGCTCCGTTTGGAGGCATCATGTTTTAGGGTCCCTATGTTTTGCCTTGCCCAAAGACAACACAAATGACACAAAAGAGACCTGCGCTCGGCCGGCTGAGTCGGAAATCGATGCAGCCACTGCCCGAGCACGGGAGCTGGAAATGGCCGCCCGAGCACGGGAGCTGGAAATGGACTGGCCAGCTTTGCTGGTGGCGGGGGGTGGCTTTTGTTGGTAGTTATGCAAGCCTTAAGCGCCACCAGTGTGGTTGAGGCAGGTTTGGCAAATGGTTCTCACCCATGGTCCCAAGTGGTTTGTTGTCTTCTTTTGTTTAAATATACTATTTCATGCAGATTCGATTTTGAGGTGCAGAGTTGCTCCTAAGGCGCATGGTGGGCTCTAGAAGCCAGGGCATGGATAAGCTGAGTTTGTTTGGCCGACTTTCTGGGAGGTGTCGTCCGCCCCAAAAACAACGAAGCGGGTTCATCCGTGCCGGAGAGTCTCGAGACAGAAATTACTCACCAGCATGGCAGGGACAAGCGGACTTGCAGATTTGTGCCCGCATGTGGCATGCATGGCCGCCGTGTGTTTGTTGAAAAACTGCGCAGAGTAACTCGCAGGACCCCTGCAAAAATTGGGGCGTCCAGCTGCCAATGGCAGTCAACTCAACAAGAAAGCAGTGCATACTTGGGCAAGTTAAGACTTCTAGATCGTGGTCAAGCACGTTTAAGTATGCTTGCGTGGGCAAGTGTGGGCCATAAGATCCATGATTCCGCAAGAGTGATGCAACCTGTCTTTGCGCTTGCACAAGCCTTGAAAGAAAGGCGATGCACCCTCCTTCTTCACACTTACCAGCTATCATAACTTACCAGCTATCATTAGAGGTCCAGCGGCCCAGTGGTTCAAGCATCGCCTTTGGCGGGGAGATGCTTCCACAAAACATAGAAGGGTGCTGTTCAATGTGGGTTGTAGCGGAAACGTGCGGAGGACATCTCAAGATGGCAAGCCTGGGCAGAGGAGGCTGGCAGTTGGCAGCGGGTTCAAGAAGGGCGCAACCCAACCGCTAACGTCATGCACCTTCACTTGGGGGCTGCAGGAAGAGGATATGGCTGTGTTATCCTTGGCCTGTCACGGGCGTATTGCGCTTATTGAGGGATAGCCTGCCCCCGATAGAGGGCCATTGAATGCCTGCGGTTGTTGAAAGCGAATAAACGGAATCAATGTTTAGAGGTTGTACAAGACCACACCTGCACACCTGGTGAGTGTGTTCTTCCTGCTGCGGACGCTTCGTGCGTGGCAGTTTGTTTAAAGACATGGCGGGATGACGCTGGAACCTGATGTGTTGTATGCTGGCTGCTTTGGTTGGACCTGCCGAGGTGGCCGGGGACCACCAGGAGGTATCCTCTCAGCTTCAATCCGTGCAGCGAAGGCACGGAAGAGTTTTTCCCTGGAGCTAAACTTTGCCCAGGTCTGAAGTTTGACTGGGGTTTTGGCTGTTTCCAGGAAGGATCAAAGTAAGCTTGCTTTGCCACCTGCTTGGGGCTGACATCCAGAATGGCAACGCGAAGCATGTGCACAGCCGCGGAAGCATAAGAAAGCTCGGCGAAGCAAACATGAGCTTGCTTGTATGTAGAAAGCGCCTAGTGGAGACGCATGTGTGTCTGGCTGCAAACCGAGCTGGAATTTCGACCAGGGCTCAATCCTCAAAGGAGACTCCTCCAAGCATGAGGCAGCGTAAAGTCACGCGAACCCTACGAACCTTTGAAATGCCCTGAGAAGGAAAGTCCCAAGAATCACCCAAGACAGGTCCTTCTTTGCGTTGAAAGTTCCATGTGGGCATTCTGATTTTGAGGGTAACCTTGCCAAGTGACAACGGAAGTTCCATGGGAAGTTCGCTCAAAGCTGACGGTGACGTCTTTGACCCGCATGGCTCAGACCGCCCTTTCTCCTTCTTTATTTGGTGGGATCAGAACTGACCAGAAAGGGCAACTGAGCTATATCAAAAGACCAGACAAGTCCGCGAAAGGAAGCCATGAGGTTCTGGATCCTTTGAACTGTCCTGGTCACCTCACCCAGAAGCTGACCCGCCTGAGAACACGATATCCTATCTTCTCCAGGGCTGGCCAAACTCAACCCCATTGCCAATGTGTCAGATGACCCGGGAGCAAAACTCAGCCATCAAGCGCCTTGGCGCTTTGGGGTTTAATTTGCCGTGTGAAATACGTGTTGTCTTTTTGCAAGTGAATCAGCGTGCAGCCACAAGAACTCGGCAATATGCGGTCATTTGCCGGGCTTTTCAGGGCGTCCACGAATGTTTCACTTTTGAGCAACTGGGGAGGCTGACAGAGCTCAACCAGCTGTTGGCCATTGCTGCTGGCTTTGCATTAGACGCGCGCTGGAGGCACGCCCTTTGAATAAGGTTCCCTTGTATGAAGCCACGGTCATGTGACCAGCGAAGGGGCCCTGGGCAGAGGGCGAGAAGGCACCTTCTCCCAACGCTTCAGGGACCTTCAGTGTCCTCGCTCAGCACAACCACCTCCCAGGCTTAGACGTTTATTAGAACGCAGAGTCGGCAGCTACACTGTCTATACCTTGTTTGCTTAAGATCCGTGGGGCCCTGCAAACTAAACTCCCTGGGCTTAGGAGGCCTTGAATTGGTTGTGCACGTTGGAGACGGGGTTTGAGGATTGTGGGCATATGTTTGCCAAACACACTACATAGCCCTGTCAACCGCAAACGGTTTAAAGGGTTAAGCCTCTAAAAAGGCATCAAGTCCAGTAGAAAACTGCACGGCATGTTCTCCCGAGAGTGCCGATCAGTGGGAGCAACGCTACGTCAACTTGGGGCTTGCGTTTTTGATTGCCTTGAAATAATTAGCGGCGCCCCTGTTGCGGGATGTAGAAATCCCCGGAGGCAATCAACTTGTCCTCAAAACTAAGGGGAACCCTTAAAATCGCCATGTTCAGCCCCCCGTCACACGTGTGGAAACCTCGGGATACGGGTTCCAACAGGATCTCCTCAAGCGCCTTCGCCGGGGCCCAGGAACGGCAACGCACTTCGGACCTGGAGGAAAAGGTGCGTGCCAAGGAGTGCGGATCCGCTTGGCTTGGACTGGGGCTTCGATGCGATGCGCGTGGGGCTGATGAACAAATCCGGAGAGTTCTTAGTCGAGCTAAAGAGTACCCCAATAAGATCCTAAAAGAACTTCATGAACTACTCACAAGCGGTTCCCTAAAACAGCTTCCCAAGAACTTTCAAGTTGGGAGGTGAGCCATCAAAGTGGCAAGCAAGTGGGACTTCTGACCAGCGCCATGGAACGTGCGCAGGACCAAGAGCTTCAGCAGAAGGGCCAGGCTGAGACACAGCTGGAAGTTCAGAAGCGAGAGCAACCCGGCCAAGTCTTGGCCGAAGCTCCGAAAACACAAATGACCACCTGGGAGTAGGAAAAACTTGCTCCTAACAAAATAAACATCTTCAGGTCCAGTTCAATCGCTTAGTACTGCTGCAATTGTCTTCTTTTTGAGATCTTCACTTGAGTTTCCATTTGATTTAGTATGGCATGAATTGGCTGGAGCGTCCTGTCGGGTCTGGAACACTACAAAAAATCCTGAGTGTCGGCTCAATAATTGTGTGTGTGTTTGCTTTTGGAACAAGATTTGTCAAACATCATAAACATTATTTTGGGCTGCCGGGGGAGGGGTGCTAGTCTCTATGGCGCATTGGTGAATCTTCTTGGGCCACGCGTTGGGCTTCATTAGTGGCGCACTCTTGAATACTAGGTGGACATTGCCCCCATTGTATCCAGCTTCCCATGACTTTAACATAATGGAGGCAGCTGAAGCAAGTCTTTCGGCGTCCTTCGAATGTCTGGTCTTCGGATAGTTCGCGACAGACCTAGCGCCTTTCCCCGGAGGTATGAGCGCCAGCTGTCTCAGCTCCGGTCCGCCGTGGCCTTGGAGCTGGAATCCACCACCACGCTAGCACAGGAGCGAGTGGACGGTCGATTGCTTCTGGGCGGACCTTCGGTATCCGTGTCCATTTTCTTGGAGGCGGTCGTTCTCTTCAAAATCAACTTCTAATGCGCCCCTTCTGCGTCCTGTCTCGGGCAAATGGCCCAAGTTGCACATCCAGCTTTCTCAGCAGGAACAGCTTCCGCCCCTAACGAAGATGCTTTGGGGTTCCCTGAGCACGGGACATGGCAACGTGACAGATTTCCTTGCAGGGGCCAAAGTTTGGGGCCTTTGGAGCACTCCTGGCGAAGGGAAGGCTAACGTGAGGCAGGAATCCTGGGCACTTTTTCGCGAAAGGCCCATATACCCTCATCGTGGCTATTTTTTGTGGCCGTGGTGTCAATGCCTACCGTGTTTGTTGAAAATGCCAACCCAAATTGGTTCCCTTGTACCAGGGCCACTCCGGCCACTTTTTTCTGTCGCGATGTCAGCCCAGTCCGCTCCCGGGGAAGTGGGCAGGACTTGGAGCGGGAGTTGCAGACCGCCTACCGGAAGAACACAGAGCTCCAGGCGCGGAGGAAATGGCTTGCCAAGTGCAACCCAAGCCACGGGTCTGCTTTTCTTGTTTGGATACATGGACCCTTCCTCCCCCCCCAAAAAAATATATAAGCTTGATATCCCCAACAGCACGCGGTGCTCTTTTTAGTGCTCGCACCACCCCGCAGAACCTCGTGGAACCCTCGTGGAACCCTGGTGGAACCCTCGTGGAACCCTCGTGGAACCCTCGTGGAACCTTACCTCAGGGCCGCCCCGGACCACCTCGGAGCCTATCTGGGCTGAAACCCCAAAGCTTTCAGCTGTTGGGGAAAAACAAAAGAAAGAAAAGGAAAGACAAAACAAAACAAGAATGCTGAGTTTCCCTAGGTGTCCTTGGTTTCCCTTTGAAACAACAAACTAGAAACAATGGGTACCGGACACGTACGTTCGATTTTTGAGGGTTTTCCCCCTAACTTAAGTTCTGGAAACCCTTTTGAACAATTCAGATCTATCAGTTAGTAACGGGTGTGCCCTTTGCCCACGTCCTTGCGCCTTTCTGCGTTAAGGGTGCAGTTTGTAAGGGGCTACCCTCGAGCCGCAGGCGAGATCGAAAGGGCTGATCACGGCTGGCTCACCTCAAAGCTTGTAACCTTTTGGTGCTCCCACCCTCGCCTACTTTTTGTCATGCCGCGAACAGCCGGTACTTGTACGAATTAGCGTCTTTCATTTTTTGAGAAAACATATCTCAACAAAAAATAACAACAAAAGGGGCATGCCAGGAATTGTGCCTTTATTGTTTCTTCTCCTTCAGGCGAAGTTGGCCTTTCTGGGCCTGCAAGGGCATGGATTGCAACTTGTCCCCTTGCCTCTTTCTTCTGCCAGCATCAATCCTTTGGACTAGGTTTCAGAAATTGGGCCCTTTGCGCAGGCCAACCCAAGAAGGAAGCAGCACACACCTCTCGGCGCGATGTGCATGTAAGGTAAGCAATGAGAAAGGATGCAGAGTCGATTCACAACGGTCCGTCTGCCACTTTCCCGAAACTAGTGTTTTCAAGGCCATTAGCGTCCTACACAAAATAGAAACGAGCAAGCCAGTGCCCCTGACTTGCCCAAGCTGGTTTCAAAGCAACAGCTTGATTGCTTGGATATGTCTTGCCCGCCCCTCGCTTTGCCCCTTTGCTGTGCATCTTATTGCGTGTTTCTGTTTGCGTTTGTTTCTGCCGCGTGCATCAGAATTGTCGGTGAGTGTTTTTTTTCCCTTTGCCTGCAGCCTTGCAGTCCGTGCGCCCTGAGAAGCCGAGTGGCTTGCCTTTTTGTTGGCGCCCGTGAGCAGGCAGCCGCGTCCACATCTGTGATGTGGCCGTCGCTTCACGCGAGCCATAGATGGGCCTCCGCCCGGGGATGATCCCTGCACGAAACTCAAGAGCGCCCGTTGCCCTGCCGGACGTAGCAGACCTTCTGAATTGGTCGCCTTTTGGTCTTGCCCAAATATATATATATATACATATATATATATACATATGTATACATTTTTAGTTAGAGAGATTTAGATGTTCATGTTAAGAGATGTGCCGGGCTTTTGACTGATGGCTCTGGGCAAGTTGGTGACTCCTCCGAGTCCTTCACCGTAGCCCTGTCCAGGCGCAGCTTGCCCAATGCGAGCAGCAGCAGCGGCAACATATGACGCTCGAGAAGAGGAGTGAGCTGGAAATTTTACCAGTGGGTTCTTCTACTGAAAGCATCCCAGTTGCGCAGATTCCACCCTCTTGATCCCGATTAGTTTGGTGATAGATTTGGGGCCCTTCAACAAGGAATCGAATCCAGGGTGTAGCAGGGTCACCGGGCAGGGGCGTTCACGCGCAGTCAACCTCCCTGCCCTTGGCTGCATAAGAGTAAGACTTGTTTCCAGTGGTTGTCTCCACGTGGCTTTAACCAATCCGCTGCCAGCTTGTTGGGTTTTGTTTTCTGTGAAGATGCGCGAAGAATCACGCATGAGCAGGTCTTTCGGCAGGTTCGCCGCCGAATCACACGTATTCCACACCGTCAGCTTGCTTATTGAACCTTCATGTTGTTGCTTGTGAAATTGATGCTGTTGTCAGGTCGCAAAAAGTGGCCTCGGCATTGTTAATCCAGGGTCAATCGTAAGTCCGCAGTGCTAGCTTGCTTCGCCCCGCAGGAATGCGGAGCGTGCCGCTGGGATGCATGACGCGAGCCGAATGATCCAGACCTGTAATGTAGCTTTACGCTTCCTTTGCTACAGGCCATCAGATGGGATTGGGGGGACTGCGGCCCCTCCCTCCATGGTTGCCCGTTGCGACGTTTCCCGTTTTGCTCCTGGGTATGCCTAGCAGGACCCAACCCAGCAATGAATTTCATGAATGCAAGTTCTCCGACGGGCCCCATGAACCTTTTGTTGAAATAAGTTCAACTCAACACTGCAAGCGTGGGTCATCGATTCCAAGGTTCCCACAAGTTCCATTCACCATAGCACAGGTGTCACCGACTTGGGAATTCTGAGAGTCAAACCATCACGCGTCGGGCTCGCCAGTTATGCCCTGTGATTTGCTGGACCTCTTGTTGATTTCCCCTGGCTTCCCTTGGCTGCCCCTGGACGGGTCGGCTGTTCCTCGCCCATTTGAATTCGATGGCCGTTTAAGGCCATCGACTTAGAGGCACGGCTGCGCAACCAGGACGGGTGAGGGGACGAATGGCGACAACTTGCTGGCCTTGGCGCCCCAAGTAGAAAAATCCGAGGAATTATTTGACAGACCTCTTGGATTGCCGTGAATGTGTTTTTGTTTTCCATCAACATGACTCTTTTGTTGTACCTTTGATATACCCCAAATCGACCATATACACTCCTTATCGGCTTCTGATACATGTCATGTATATATGCATGCAGATGTACACATTATATATTATATATATATAGACAGATAGATAGTAGTTTATGTGTTTATGCATATAAGCACTCCCCAATATTCCAACATACAGGTTGGTATCCCCAATAAACGAGGTGACGCGAGCTGTGTGCTTTGCCTCAGTTGTTGCTCCAGAGATGGAGCCGAGGCTTGCAAAAAGCAAAAGGACCTCTTCAACACCCGCAGAGAAGTTAGTCTAATTCGAGGTCGGCGTCTTTGTTTCTTTCAAGAGAAGGGTGGCAAGAAAAAGCTTTGGCTGGACACCCGTGGTCGCAGCCATCGTTTAAGCCCATAAGCTAGGGCAGTTGCTCACCCAGCCCCTGTTCCTGTGACATGTGTGGTTGTTTCTTGTGCTTCGAGCCAATGCCTGCGTTCCTGCTTGCTTTCAGTGAACAAGGGAGCTCAAGGGGCGAGGCCAGATTAAAGGTGCAAGTTAAAAATGGTGCGAATAATCTGTGGGTTAAGCATTCAAACAGCTGCTCAGCCTTGAGCACTTGTGTATCGGCATTTCCTATGATCGGCTTTTCGCTGACATAGATACAGTATGCACTTCAAGCAATTCTTGTATTTCCAATTTAACATGGCTGCCTGACCTTAGAACATTCACCGTAAGGGTTTATCTAACCCAAAGCTTGGCCTGAGTCCCAGTGGCTTAGACCCAAGCGCTTGGGGCCTGGCCTTAGGACAAAGAAACTGAAATTGAACTGCGTGAAGGCATCCAACACAGAACTCGCCGTGGATGAAAATTTGATTCTTCCTCGGTTCCGCGACAATGCCATGAACATGGCAGGGGGACCTTTCATTTGGGAAACAGAGGGGCCTGTTGATGTCTTCAAACATGAGCCTTATCTATCTATCTATCTACCAACCAACCTACCTACCTACCTACCGTTACCTACCTTTCTATCCACACAGCTACTGCCCCTTAAACATCACCCCACCAAGGCGGCAACAAATGGCCCCTAAGACGGGGGTCTTCTGTTTTTCCCGAAGTCAAAAACTCCCAGAACTCCAAAGGGAACCGCAGGCAGGGTAGGCTTGACGTCTAACCTACGCCAGGAGCAGGAGCAGGAGCATCGCTTGAACGCTGCGCTGTCGGACCTGCAATCAGTCTCCAGACTTTGCTTTAGCGCTGTGGTTGTATCGCAGTGACGGACCTACCTCATCCAATGTCCCTCTCTAGGGAGGGGTTGGACAATCCTTTGGTGGATAGCATCAACTCTTGGTGGTTGGCTTTCTCCGTGCTATGGCTATACTGTTTGCCGTTGGTTGGGTGGACCTCCACGGCCCCCACGGGAAACTCAGCCGGAACCTTTGCTGTGATAGAATTTCGGCTTATGCTGGTCGACTCCTTTTTCACTGGTTTGGTTTGTGAACCAGGGGTCAGTTCAGTTTGCTTGGCGTGAACCAGCTACGAAGCGCCAGGCTGCGCAGAGGGAAGCCGGCTTGGAGCAGCGGGCCATGCAGCGTGAGCCGCTTGGCTTTACATGAAACACCCTTGCAGCATGGAAGCGCGCCGGCACCCTTCCTTAAAAGGGACACAGTCCCAAGATCCATGGTTGTTACAGGGAGAGTGGACCACAACGAGGGGTTTTCGGCTGGCGTTCCTTCAAACAAGCCAAAGAGGGTAACGTCACAAAGTAGACAGACTGATTGTTCGCCCCTGGCCCTCCCCAGTTTGCCACGTAGCATGGCTCAACGTGCCTTTCACTTTTGCGCTGCTTATGTCTAGATTTGTGAACTTCCTAGTTTAGATCTTCGAATTGTGTTTCTTGTCCGTGCCATTTGACAAGTGACAATACACGCGTTGACTGTTTGTGTCAGCGGTCTTGGCTCCATATGCCATGCGTATTGTGGCTTGGATTTCTGCTCACGCCCAGTCACATGTGTTCAGCAAGGCGACAGCCGCATCAAGGGGCACCACTGCCTAGTGTGGGATTTGCGGTTGGCGCAGCCGGAACCAGGGAATGCCAACACATTTCGTTCCCCATCCCCGCGTTGCCCCAGTCTTGACCCTACGTTTGGCCAATGAATTTGGCAGATCGACTACCGCTTGTGACTTTGAGGCTGCTCAAAAAGTGGCCAGCCAGTCGCATATGGCCAAGGCAGACTTTGCAGCTGGAATCCACCCGAGAGCAGGACACACGAGCGCTCGGTCCGACTGCTTGTGGTCAAGCATGAGGTGGCCCTTGTTGATCCCACAAGGACAAAAAAGAAATCGGGGTCCAGGTACACCTCCTGAACATTTAATCCTTTTCAGAAGCCTTCTAAGATGGTTCTCAGAACCTGGGGTGGGCGGGGTGTGCGGGCCGAGGTTTTTGCCCGAAAAAGGGTACAGTCTGCCTTAAAAAGGACGGGGACTCAAAAGAAAGGGCTTGGCGGGGATGGGGCGGGCCTTTCGGAGCCATGAGAAATTGGTATGCTGCGGCATGCGCGGTACATTGACCGGAGACGCTTTAGAACCGCGTCCCCGCCCTTGTGCGCATGCGAATGGAGAGCTTTCCCACAGTTAGCTTAGATTTGGCGCTAAAGTACGCAGGTTGGACCAACTTTTTGCAAGCATCATGCCACCAAAAGCGAAATACTTGTGTTTTTCTCCGGCTCCCAGCGCTCTGCGGGTAATCTCAAAGATTGGCATGCCCCAAGAGGCAACCATAGAGGAAGCTTGGTGACCCCATTGTGAGGCTCCGTCCGCTTCAGGAGGCGCAGCGGCAGCGGCAGATGCTGTCCCAGCAGCTGCAGAATGCCCAGCGTGACACTTCCCAGCTGCAGGCGAGGGCACGGCGGGCCTGGGCCAACAAAATTGCCAGCTGAAGCGGGGGGTTTGCGACCCCAGAAGCGTCTTTCTTCAGCATCCCTTTCTTGGGTGGATACAGGAAGCCTGCAGCTTTTAAATTCATCAAAGTTGGCCTTGACTGGCAAGCCGCTGTTTGACACATGGACCGAATGCTTGCTAGAGAATCGCTCCATGTGCCCCCCCCCCCACCCCCCACCTGCATACCAGCCGCTGACCTGCTGAGTGGACTGCCCTGCAAAAGTGGGACCGGGCAGGGGCGTTTGAACTTTTCGGTCGTTGCGCAAAACGATCCATGCAGAAATGTTCAGGTCTCCAGCTGGGCACCCTCTATATAACTGCGAGCCTCTTGCGTGACTCTCCCCAAAGTCCCGGACGTTCTAAAAAAAGGCCAACGACGCAAGTAATGGATTCTGCGCGGGAACTTGTTCAATCGTTCGCGCCAGGTGTCATTTGGCAAAAAAAAATGCGACAAAGCAGAGCTTCCACTCCAAAATATTTCCAGCCCCCGGCGGGACGCTCACGCACGGTGGTTCAAGGCAATGATGGAGCGGAAGCAGAGGGACTTGGATTCACAAGCAGCTGCGCATTCCGAGGCGGGGGTTTTGGGAGGGCGGCCAGACTCCTCAAGGTTTGCAAAGGAGATTCTAACACATGGCAGATCATGGCAGCTTCTTGTAATGAAACATGGAGCCCACAACACACACGCAGGGACGGAATCTCCTTGGATAACCCCTTTTTTGAGCGCCATGCAAAATCATTGGGCACTCCGATGCCGCTCGCCAGTTTGGCTTCTTTAGCTCTAGCGAGCTCAACGAACTGAGCATTCTTAAGCTGCAATTTCGAGCACATCGGCCACATGGTGGCGTTGCTATGGGCCGATGCTTGGGCTTCCATTTTCGCCCTTGGAAAAGTGATGGAGAGATAAGGCAAATCCTGGGCGTAGGGTTGAACGTTGACCAAGACTTGGGGAGTGCTGTTTTTTCCAGGTGGTGTGTCGCAACTTGTTGAAGTTGAGCCTGAAAGAACAAAAAAGAGAGTGGCAGGAGTCGCCGGCTCGTTTTGACATCTACCAAAGATATGTTCCGACAATGTCGGTGAGGACTGGCGCTACACTTGTTCAAGGCCATGGGGTGTTTTCACGGGGTCCGGTCTTTGGCAGCGCGTGCCTGTTTTTTTGTGTTGCTCCTTTTCGCCGATCCGCACATTGGTGATGAGAAGCAGTTGCCGTATCGAAAGACCTGGTCCCATCCCAACACCAGAACATGTTCAAGGAGGTTGATGCCTTGAATCCTTGAACTATGCTGGGGGAAGAGCGTGCTAGAGTTTGCCACCGGCGTGCCCGATCAAGATGGGATGTCATATTTTTATCATCCCTTGCGAAGGGCTAACCAGAAGTGACGCAGCAAGAGAATCAATATCATGCCATGTTGCATCGCTTATGGTGGTCACCATGCTTTTACTCGGCACGTTGTTGCCCATGTAGCTTGTCAAGTCTTTAGGCAAAACGCCTCTTATCAGACTTCCGATATTGGTGCAGAGACAGGCGTTGATTGAAGGCCGCATTGCGATGGTTGAATTCCTCTGAAAGTTCCTCTTGTGAGAACCGCGCACATGGCTCTTTTGGAGCTTTCATTTGCTCCCTAGATTTGTTTTGGCTTTAAATATGACCCTGTGGGCCTTCAAGTCATAAGTTCCCCTTGGGCGATGCTCTAGGCAAGAGGGGTCCCTTCATCCACTTTGTGGGAAGCAGCCATTGATCCACGGCCATGCCACAAATGACTATGGAGGGGCTTCTCTTGCAGGCCCTCAACGGCGCCCTGGCAAGGGCCCTCGCGCTGGAGCAGCAGTTGGACCAACGCGCCACGGAGACCCGCGCCTTGGCCAACTGATGAACGACCTCGTGTGAGACTCACATCCCCAGCGTTTCTGAGCTTGCGGTTGGGAGGATCGCTTTAGTGGCGAAGTGGAAAGAAGTTCAGACTTTGGGCGAAGAACCTAGTTGGGTCTCTGTTGAAGAGCTCCAGACTGGAGGTTTGGGCTTTGAAGAGGGAAAGCCGCCGTTTTGGTGGCCCCCTTTTGTTGTTAAGTTGCTGAGGCTGGTGTTTGCTTGAGCCCTGTTGCAATGTCTGAACTTGTGATGACTTGTGAACGTCTTAATTGTTGGAAGGCTGGCAACTGGCCGGGGTCCTTGCAGGCCCGATTGCTTGAGGAAATCAGCAACATCCTGGCCGAAGATGCGCAGAGATAGAACACGATTTACGCGTGTTTGTGTTTGTGGTGGTTGGGGAACCTGCTGGGTTGGCTTTGAAGGGACGCCAGAAGGAAGGGAGAAATTTGTTGGGATCATGCTTGTTCAAGTGACAACCTCGAGAGCAAGTGTTTGTTGATGGAAGTGTCGGCCCTGTTTCTTTTGCGACCCTCAGAGGCGGCCATATGCCCTTATATGTGCGTACTGCAAGTGGTGGCTTGCGCGTTGTCATGGCACCCCAACAGATGATTTATTTGTTATTGCACGCATTGCCCTTCAAAAGCCTTCTTGTGGCTGCGGTGACAAAAGAGGGGACCACTTGTGCTTCTGTAGCCATTGCAACCTGAGAGACCACCCCACATCTCTTGAGCAAGTGAGATGATATGTTGCCCCCCAAGTTTCTTTCATGATTGTAGTGTCCCCCTTCCAATTGGGCGAAGCTTTCGGGCCACCCCCGCACAATCCACCCCCCCCATCCCACCGCCGGGTCTCTCGTGGCAGGGGCTTTGACGAAGTCAGCCCTGGAATGCCGGCAGTCCTCCCAGACCTTGGAGCAGGAGCTGCAAGCGCAACGCCGCCCGAGGGCCAAGTCCGACGGAGACCAGAAACAAAGGTCAGGAAATCCACCGGAAATCTGTCCTGGGCGTCCTTTTTTGCCAAGTGTCTTAAGGTCGCAAAATGCCAGCCTTTGACTTGAGCAGCTGGCCTTTGCTCAAGCAACCCCATGTTTGGTGTCCTTATCCTTGTAGAAAGCGTACATTGAAACCACACATGTCGTTTTTCGCGAAGTCTCGCAACAGTTTTTGACTGCAGAGGTGTCGACAGTTGGCTTGGACCAGACGCAGGCCAGCACGAGGAGCAGCAGGCGGAGCTTCAGAGGCAGCACGCCCGGGCCAAAGGTCTGGAGGCCGATTGGGCGACGTGAGCGAACTTAGCCCCGACGAGGAAGGCATCTGACATGAGAATGGGCCGTCGCTCCCTTTCTTCGGCCTGGCATTTTGCACCTGGCACGTGGTTGAGGGAAGAAATTTTGGGTCTGGGCAACTTGTTGACCAAGGGAATCTACTTGCAAGTGATGGCGTAGTTGTGGGGATGGCCCACTTGGTATAGCAGCAAGAGCGATGTTCCGCAATTGTATCCAGCAGGGCAGTTGCCGAATGCATTGCCATTCGGAAGGGTGAATGAGCTCACAAATGAAGGTGCCTCAATGGGGGATCTCTTGATTCAAGCTTTGCAATCCACGACGAAGTTTTCAAGTAAAAGGCTTGCCGGATGAGTGGACAGATATTTGGGTAGGGGCGCGAGGGTTGTTGGCTGGGTTAGGGGGGAGGGGGGAATGTTGGCTGGAGAGATGTTGGTGGGAGTAGAACGGTTGCCAGGGTCATATGCGGCAGGAGGCACGCATAGCACTCTCAGTCCACGTTTCATGGTTCACCAGTCGTCGGGCCGCTCAGCGTGATCCACTTGGGTTAAGTTTGAAGCTTCCGCCAGTGAGTTGAGGACCAGTGCGCACGGAAAGACACCCAAGGGAGGGCACCTCGCCAACAAGGCTTAGGAAGGGAGCGCCACTTCTTTCCAAGATCCCGAGAATGATTATTCCTTTAAGCGATGTGAGGGTGCTCGGGGTATTTAACCTGTCACAACCCATTTGCTTGTTTGTTGAGCTCGCCCATTCGCTTCAGCCCATTGGGGCCAAGAGTAGCTTGGGCCCTGAACAAGAACTGTCAAGAGTCAAGCGAATTGCTCGTGCCTGCCCCCAAATTGATCCACAAAGCAACCAGCTCGCAGACCTGCCAACCAAAAGCTGAATGGCCCCTGTGGCAGGCTTCCACGGCTTTGAGCCACTTTGCTTTGCAAAGGGTTGCGCAGCTCATTCCGTTGGTCGCAGAGCTCGCGTGGCGCGTTCTGCTTTCTTCTTGGATTTTGCTTGCTTGCCTTGTCTAGCCGTTTTCGTGCTTTCTCAGCTTTGTCTTTTGATTCTGTTGGCCTGTCATTTTGTCATGCACTTTCTCATGATTATCCCCTGGCTGGTTCTAGATAATTCAGTGCAAAACAGAGCATGTTGGCAAACTTGCCAAAGGCCGCAAGTTGCCCCAGTTGCTCCGTGGTAAGACCTTTAACCTTCGACTGTTTTTTTGTCCCTTTTTTTTCTGTTTTTTCTTCTTTTTTTTTTTTTTTTCGATAATTACACTCCTCCCACTACCTGGCGCATACACCACAACTCTTGTTTTGTTTATTGTGGGGGGGGGGGGGGTTAGCGGGCAACGTGCTCCTTCACGCGCCCGGGCCGGGGCGTGCGGGCGTGGCCAGGCCAGAGTGGAGGGGCTGCAGGCGCATGCCGCGGCGCTGTCCAGCAGCCGAGAGGAGAGAGGCCAACCACAGCTTAGCTTCTGGCCTTCTAACATGGAACCCAGGGCCCGGTCCCGTTAGGAGAGTTGTCTTCCAGGACCCCGCAACAAGGTGTCATGTTTGGGGATGAGAGGGTCATTTCCTCTGCTCAAAGCAGCTGCCATGAGGAGCTAGCGCAAGAGCGCGCAAGATCTTCGGAGCTGGCAGTGCTGCAGCAGAGGTTGGAGGCCATTAGCGATGGACGGAATTGGCGGAGGGGGGTCCTTCCCGGAAGTTTCATTTGTGGGAATTCCATGCGCCCTCCCGGCTCTTCCAGGATTGCCTGGCCAGGTTTTATGATGGGAAAACCCGTGGAATTTGGGGGCCAGGCGTGGTAGACCTCCATGGTAGCGTGGTAGACCTCCATGGTTTGACCGGAATCACGTGTTCGACCTCCAGGTAAAATACGAGGTGTCCAGATTAACGATTGGGCTGTGAACCGCGAGCAGAAAGGGAGAAAGTAAAAAGATGTGTTTTTTTCTCCAATTTCAGTTGTTGTTTTTTTGCCGGAACTCAGCAAAACAAATACAAACTCCGATGGGATCCCTTCAAGACATCCACCATGCACCAACTTGGGAGGAGCAGTTGTTATGCGCACCACGCAGATGCAACCTGGGTTTTGGGCAACTTCACAGAAGATGGGAGCACAAAGGGCTCCTCCTGATGCGTTGTGCATCTTGTGATGTTTACCTTGTACCGTGCACCAACTGCTTCCACTCAAGACCTGGCAAATTGCATGTTGAGATACTGCGCGGGGGGAGCACGCTTAATCTTTGAGATAGAGGCATAGGAGTTGGAGGAGTGACTTGTGTAGTCCAGTTGCTTGTTGTTTAGGCTGCAATTCTGTTCCGGGAGTGCGACATGTTAAGCCAACAGGAGGGAAGCAACGAAAGGTTTCGAAACTGCGTGCGTTGTTCCAGGAACTCTCGTGATTGGATGCCGAGAGTTGCAAAATTGTGGGAGGCGTCACAAGTGCCCCCACCCAACCCCCCCCCCGGCCCCGACGTTGTGAAGAGCACCTGGAGATGGCGTCAAAATGCATTGGCGCAAGCCCAAATGGTCTTGAGACCTCTCCAAGCAACATGTCCCTCACCCCCATGGCCTGTTTCCTAGGGCCTCATGTCCCCCCCCCAGGGCTCCAGGGTGCCTCCGCTAGGCGCAGGTGGAGCAAGCTCGCAAGGAGGGCCTAGCGCAGGTCTGGGCGCTGGAGGATGCCGCAGAGGCGGAGATGCGCCTGGAGGCCGGGAAGCTCGGAGTTCAACGCGCCGGGGATTCCTCGGAGTTCCAGCGACCAAACTCCCGTGCCGGGTTGGTTACAGAAGCGTTTTGGGTGTGGCTCAGAAGTAGAAAGAAACTAGGGTTAGGCAGGTTTAGTCTTTCCCACCATTTTGGGTACCATTTTCGAGCCACCGCCAGTTCCTTTTCTTGGCAGGTTTCAACCTCATTGAAGTCCGGCCCGCTTGGCTAGGAAATTGGGGAACTCTGAGAATTTGAGGCATGATTGTGGAAGAGCCTACCCACCACATTCCAAGCCCCTTCAAAGCTCTCAAGCGTTCGTACCACAGGCAGGATGTTTTCGCGGGACCTTGAGGGAGGTTGCACTCCAGGCGGAAGGCGGAAGGGGCTTTCGAGCAGAAGTTGAAGACAGTTCCCACCAGACACTTGCAGACACTTGATAGGGGTGTGTCTTTTTGCTATTAGCCTGTGGCTCCTGTGAACGGAGAGAGGGGGGGCAGCAACCTTTTTGCGGTGCCATTTGCCGAGTTCAGGGAATCAATGCTCCTGAGGTGTCCAGAGGACCGAGGAATTGTTGGCAGCGGTCGGGCTGAGTTGCTCAGGCTCAACTCCTAGCTGCTGAGCGGAACGCGGAGGCAGGGAGTGCCCGGTGACGGAACTGGGTGCAACCAGCGGGTTTGTCAGGATGGTGTCCGTTGTTGTTCTTTGGGGATACACATTTAGGTTGTGCTCCTTCCTTTTCGAGGGTGCCGTGGTTTTGGCTTTGCTGGGACACAAGTCCGTCCAACCTTCATGTCCCAGAAAATGAGGAAGATCCCCTGCCGGCCTAGTTTTCCAAAGCATGGCCGACAAATCGACTCTTTTGGGAGAATCATGAACCCCGTTTCTAGTCAGCGGGCACGGGTGAGCCGCTGAAGCCCATGGTTCCATCGAATCTTGCAGGGTGTTGCTGTACTGATGTTTTTTCTGGCTTTGTAGGCGCAGCAACACATCATCGCGAGCTGGTCTGCCTTGAGCCACCCATGACCTCTTTTGAGTCGAGATGCGCTTTTAGCATTGCCACCATGAAAGGGTTGCATCCAGTTGGACTCCTCTAACTAGCAGCGGGCCCGTGTCTTGTTCCTCAAGCAAAAGTTTGGCTTTTGCCAATTGTTTTTCGAACAGGTCAGAATATGTTCCGCTGGTTTGAGCCGGGTTGCACTCGCTCGCAAGCGCGAGGCGACGCAAAGTCTTTGCCAAGAGCTCTCGTACCCCGGCCAGGGACACATCAGCTCTGTGGTGGCCCTCCAACCAATGTGGAACCTGACGGGGGGGGGGGGGTGGTCTCCTTCGAAAAGAGACCCTTTGGCGATGTCCATGTTCTCGGGCGAGAGGGTACCTTCGCCTTGTGAAGGCGAATGGCTGCGACGCCCTTAAGGATGGATGGATGCATAGCCCTAAGCGATGTCCGCAGCTGCCCCGATTGAGATTCATAGCATGTTAGACATGACTGAGTCCTTCAGTATGTTCCATGGCTGTAGCGCGCGGGATGACGTGGGGCACACTCGCAAATTACACACCCTTTAAACATGCGGATGCGAATGCCCAATCCCTTTTGGGGCTCAACGAACATTAAAGCTTCACGTCCACACCTCATGGCTTGGTTGGATCCACAAATCAATATATATGTATATATATATATATACACATGAAAAAGATGTACGTGCCTGTGCGCATGGGTCCCCACACGGAAAATCCATCGGGATGCGTGGGCAACCCGAGCCTCACGGGCAGCCTGTCGCTTGTGTTTTGTGGCATTGTGGACAGGTATTGCGGTTGATTGTTTGGGATTGTTGCTGCATTGAGCGCTTGAGCGTTTGGGCGCTTGTGCTAGGTGCTTTGCTTGGCATTTAGGGGCGCTTGTTTGGGTGAGTAATAACGACCTCACACGACCTCACCCCAAATGGTGGTGTATGAGGGGAATGGCCCCCCAACCACCTTATTTGAGGCTGGTGAAAATATATAGCTCACCCAGGCTTGTTGTCAGTTTGTGTTTTTCGTGCTGCGCTTGGCTTTGCTCGTCCACCCAGGTGCCAGATGGAGCGCCTGGAGGTAAGCAGCGAGCGCGAGCGCATGGCGTTTGCGGCAGAAAGCAAGCGACTGCAGGAGCCAGCGGGTCGCAGCAGGTTGCAACATCCGTTTTTCTCACTCGCGCTTGTCGGCTTCATACGTTTTGGGAAGACCACGTTGGGCAATCTCAGATTGCTTTCTTTAGCCCAAAGCCACGGCTGACTCGCAATCTTTAGAATGGAATCTCTTGAGTGGAGCCATGAAAGGACAGGAAAGGGATCGCACAATACAATTTCAAATTACGTTGTCTGTTCTCTTGTTTTTAATATGTTATTGCCATTGCTATCACGCACTAGTTTATCCCTGTCATGTCTCTCCCCCAAATCATAGCGTCTTGGAAGGATGGTGAATTAGTTAATCGCTAGCTGCGAGCTCTTGAATACAAAAGGAATGCACAACGTATGAAAACAAAGAGAGCACGTGATGATGACATCAATCATATCAAACAGAGAGAGAGGGAGAGAGAACCAAAATCATCAGTAGCAAGCTCAGGTAAGTAAGATACAGAGAGGCGAATGATGGTCATAGCAGTCGAAAAAGGACACAAAAGACAGATGTAGAGAAGTCGCATTCACTGAGTATTGAGATTGCAGATGAAGCGGAAAACAGCATAGCTTTAATCATCTGCCGGTTGGCACGGCTCTGTTCTATGGCCTATCCGAATCCCTGTGGGGCAAAGGGAAAACCCCATGGCCAAGACCTCTTACCCAAACCCATCACCCAGCAGTGCCCTTTCTCACCCCTTCTTTGGGGGAGGGTTTCCCTACCAAAATAGACTACAGAAAATAGGGTACCCTTATTCTAACCTCTCTACTGGAGGACCTAGGAGGGTTGTGCCCATGCTTGCTTGACAATCACCACGGGCAAGGCCCTGAAAAATCCTCCGGGAAAACGATGGAATATCACACTTTGGCCTAGGTGCGGGATACCGATGGCAGATGGGATGCCAAAGACTTGGTGACATACCAAAATCATAGGTATGGATTCGAATCGCACTTTGGCATCACAAAACATGTTTCTCACCGCCGTGGTCCGACCTGCATAAAAGGGAAGCCTTCCAAAAAAAAGGAACCTCCAAAACAGAGGAACCATGAGGAACCTCAAAAAAAATGAATCAAAGGAAACAGAGGAACCTCCAAGACCTGACAAAAAGGGCACCCCCCCCCAACAAACAGACGCCCTCCCCGCGGTCAGGAGCAGCTGAGCAGCTCCAAGGAGATGGCAGCGGAGGAGGCCTGCCGCGCAGAGAAGCGCGCGGAGAAGCAGATGGCTTCGATGGGCTGCCTGGAACATCAGGCGCGCGGGGCCAGGCTGCGGTTCTATGTGTCGCAGGACGGGGTGGCACCCTCGGGGTGGCACCCTCGTGTTGGATGAGTTTAAAGGGACATCAACAGGAAACCACCCAGAGGTGGTCCTCTATTTTTAAAGAACCGCGGTTCTATGGGAGGGGTTGATGAAAAGGTCTGTGATACGTGGGATGACCATGGGTTAGTTCAGTTAAAGGCTTCTTAAAGTGATATTTTCCACAGGGGAAAAGTTACCCACACACTGCTCCACCACCAAGTCAAGTAGTCCATGCATCTGCATCTAAGTAAAAAGTTTGCCATATGGGGGTTGATGAAAAGGTCCGGGTTTATGTTCTCATGGTTGATTTTTGTTTAGTTGATCTACAGTGTCCGGGATGACCATTGGTTTGTAAACCGCTAAAACTTGAGAATTATGTTCCTCAGGGGAAAAGTTACCCATGGACATTTGGGGGCGAGGGGGTCCGTTTTTTGTTTGTTTGTTTAGAAACACCCATATATGAAAAGATGGAGGTTTTCCTTTTGAGTTTCCGTGCGACCAGTGAACCATTCCAGAAACTCTCGTATATCCCCCCGCCCCAGTCCTCCTTAAGGCTGGCCTGGATCCTATTGATTTTCACCGGACTGGAGGTTGCGCCGATGTTCGATGCGTGGCCACTGATTCCAAGGAGAGAGCTTAGATTGCATTTCCGCGTTTTCCTGCATTTCTTCAAGTCAGCAGAATGCAGGCTGGCCGTCTGCCAGTTTGTTCAGTGGCACGTCCCGTTGACACAAACGAGCTTCCTTTTCAGCTCCGAGAGGCTTCCCCCAAAGCCGGCGCAAGATGATCGCACCGAGACAGGGTGCGCAAAGGGCTGAAGCTCCAGTGCAAGGGAGCCATTGTTGCATGTGTTTGCTGGATTGTCAGCCTTGTGGAAGGTTCTTGCAGCCCAAAAAGAGGGCCATGGCCCTTTGGCAGTGCGTTCCATTTGGCGCCTGTTTGGGTGATATGCACATGCCGGGCCGGGGAAATCTCTGGCATCCGATCGCATCCAAACGGCCCCCCTTTCAGGCAAAGTAGTCGCCTCGCTATGCTTTTGTGTTTTGTTCGACCGTGGCAATTCTGTGGGGGCTCATGAAAGCTTATGATGAATCATCTCAGCTCTTTTGCTTGACGGTTTGCTTTTCGTTGTTCGTTGTCCGCGCGCGGCATGCGTTGATTGCAACGTGCATCCCTTGCATCTATATTGAACTATATAGGTATTTGCTGATATGTTTTTTGTTGTTGCTCAGATACCGCCAATGTCCCCTCCGAACAGGTTTTTTGCTGCACGTTTGTGTTCGCCATTGTTGGCACATGTTTCAGCTCGTTGCTCTTTGACGGTTCTCACCTCAATTGGCGGGGGGCTGCCAACCCGTGCCCGGTGCGGCACCATCGACAGGTGGCCACACAGAGGCACGTGGCCCAGAGGAACTGCGCAGAGGCCTGGGATGGATTCCTGAATCGTCCATCAGGATCCTGGTCTTATGAGTACTTATCCATTAACGCATCCGCGCAAAGGGTTATCCAAGGCTCGTTCTCTCACCTTGGGCTATCTTGGGATTATCTTGGGCTTGCGCTACTAGTAGCCTCTTCTGGGTTGGATCCCGCGCAAGAAGTCCACGGGTGAGAGCTCGTTGCCGACGAGTGTGTCCATGATGGCTTGGCTCCTCGCTTTGCCAGGCCAGCGAGCTAGCCCTCTCTTTGAAGGACAGGATGGTCGAACTGACGCAGCTGAAAGTCAAGAACGAGGAGGCGTCGGTTTTGGTCATTTTTGGCCTTTTTTGCCTTTCACATTGTCAGATGTCTCGCCCTCTCAGGCTGCGCAGCTTGCGCGCGAACGCGCAGCAGAGCTGCAGAAGTTGCAAGAGACCGCCGAACAGGCTGAGGCCTGCTGCTTTCATGCGTTTGTGCAGGTTTCTGGGCACGCGGCCCCATGTTGTTCCGAGCTGATATGTCCTGCTGACTGCTTTTGAACGCCACATGCCAGGTGGCGCATGCGCAGTGCCAAAGATTGCACGAAGAGCTTGACGAGGCACGCGCCGAGAAACAGGGAGTTACGCTTGTCCCTGCCGGTTTGCCGCTGGCCGCGGGACATTTTATATATCTTCAGGATAGTGTTCAAGTCGTTGCCGAGTCAACTCACACGCGGCCAGGCAAAGAGACAATCGCAAGCGCAAGCGCAGCGCCAGCAAGATTCAGCTTTGGACGCTTGCGAGCAGAAGTTTGCCGAAGAAAGAGCTAAGGCTGGGGTGACATTCGTCATACCATTTGATTTCTCTTGGCTCGCGTTGGCAAACGTGGGCCAGCGCATGTTCAATGATTCTATGATGCTTGTTGGGACTGAGTGCATTCCCTTTCTGAATGTCGCCACGACCAATAAAGCCGTTTGATGAAGGACACCATATTTTTCCGGCGACTGCCAGACAAGACTACTTCAAAGGCACCCACAAGGTTTGGCAAAAATACCCCTCCGATTTGTTTTAAGCACTTCCCACAACCCCCTCTGATTAGACGTTCCTGTCCGGTCCCCAACAAGCCAACAAAAACGTCATCTCAAATCATCGAAGCTATTGCGTATACTTTTGCCAACACAAACTCCTTTCAGACTCTCAAGGGTTGCCATTCCAGAAATCAACTAAACAGCTTGCAAGCTCGCAACGGGTGCCCCCTTCAAGGCCAGCCCCCCCCCCTCCCCCTCGCCCCAAATAACACAAAACCCCCTCTGATAAATCGTGGCCCTCTCCAGTCCTGGAAAACACAAAATGCAATTTCCTTTTGCTTTCCTCTTGCAGTCCTGTTAGTCAGGCAGGGGTCCGGCCAGGTCCGGATTAACTCGAGGGGGCTAGGGGGACCCTCAATTTCCGTCAAGCGCGGGGATAAGCCTCCACTTCTGAAGCCCTCCATTATAATCAGATGTTGCCCAGAACGCCCAGCCAAACAGACCGGGCAATGCTCGCCGCACTTGCTTGGCCATACAACGCGTGCGTTCTTGCAATGCTTCAAAATAATGCAAAACACTTGCTGGAATGATACCTGGACCTTCCGACATGTAAAATTAACGCCGTTTCCCAAAACAGCAATAATGTTCGCCGGTTGCTGAAAAAACGCTCTTTCGGAGAAAAAGCGCTCGCCGTGAGTCCAGCTCGGAACCAGGCAAAACAAATACGCCGTTTCGCCTGCAAATTACGCCGTTTTGACGGCAACTTTCGCCGTTTTGCAATTTGGATTGATGCTGGAGTGTGCAAACACTGAAAACTGCCGGCAGGCGAAAATAATCGCCGTTGGGTCAAAAGACATAGTTTTTGACAAAACAACAATAATTTTGCACATGTTGGAAGACCCAGGTATGCATGTGGTTTACGTCTACTTTGAGAAACTCGCCATCAGCAACCGAACAAACACATCACCAGGCTTGAAATGTGCTTCCCACATGTGGGAACAGAGCTGGGAAAACCATAATCTGAATCACCTTTTGCCTGGGGTTGGGTTGTCGCTGGAATTGCGGTGCTTGTTTAATTGCTTCCTTTTGAGTTTCCAGCCAATGGTCGGAAATGAGGTTCTTTGCACATTTGACAAGGGAATGACTTGTTTGCTTTGCGACCTGCAGTCCAACAGTTATGAAGTGGGAATGTGAACATAAAGCAGCACTGGGGGCTGCTTTCCAGAACGCAAAACGACCCGGCCAACCAACAGAGGGATGGATCCCATCCATAGACCCTGTAGGTTTCGTATGTGTCCATGATGGCTTGGCTCCCCGCTTTGCCAGGCCAGCGAGCTAGCCCTCTCTTTGAAGGACAAGATGGTCGAAACGACGCAGCTGAAAATCAAGAACGAGGAGGCGTCAGTTTTGGTCGTTTTTGGCCTTTTTTGCCTTTCAAATTGTCAGATGTCTCGCCCTCTCAGGCTGCGCAGCTTGCGCGCGAACGCGCAGCAGAGCTGCAAAAGTTGCAAGAGACCGCCGAACAGGCTGAGGCCTGCTGTGTTCCGAGCTGATATGAGCTGATATGTCCTGCTGACTGCCTTTGAACGCCACATGCCAGGTGGCGCATGCGCAGTGCCAAAGATTGCACAAAGAGCTTCATGAGGCACGCGCCGAGAAACAGGGAGTTACGCTTGTCCCTGACGGTTTGCCGCGGGCCGCGGGACATTTTATATCTTCAGGATAGTGTTCAAGTCGTTGCCGAGTCAACTCACACGCGGCCAGGCAAAGAGACAATTGCTGGCGCAAGCGCAGCGCCAGCAAGATTCAGCTTTGGACGCTTGCGAGCAGAAGTTTGCCGAAGAAAGAGCTAAGGCTGGGGTGGCATTTGTCATACATCTCGTTTGCGCTGACCAACATGGTCCATGGAAACGGTTCTCTCTGTTGACCCATTCGCTTGCCGTTGCCAAATCGGATTTCTCAAGAAAGGGGAGACAAGGCAGCTCTTCGACGGAGCAGGAACTGTTGTTTTGAATTGGCGTTCCACAGGCCAAGGCAGGGTCCCAAAGAGTGACTTATAACAACACATCGCAGGTGTTCTTTCATTTCGGGGCACGGCGATGATCCATGGGCCCTGGAATGTGAAGCTCGTCAAACTCGTAACTAGGCCATGAATCCTACGGGGCAAGCAGGCAGGTGTCGCACGAATAAAACGCCCAGATGCAAGGGCTAAAGTCAAGCATGGGCCACGGGTCCAGCCTGTAGGGACTGTAGGTTTCATGTGCGGAGGCTCTTTGAAGACGTGTGTCTCGTCGCACATCGCGTTGCCAGGTCAGCGAGCTAGCCCTCGCTTTGATGGACAGGATGGTGGAAATGACGGAGCTGAAAGCCAAGAACGAGGAGGCGCCGGTTTTGGTCGTTTTTGGCCTTTTTTGCCTTTCAAATTGTCAGATGTCTCGCCCTCTCAGGCTGCGCAGCTTGCGCGCGAAAGCGCAGCAGAGCTGCAAAAGTTGCAAGAGACCGCTGAACAGGCTGACTCCTGCTGCTTTCATGCGTTTGCGCAGGTTTCTGACCCCGCAGCCCCATTTGGTTCCGGGGGTTCCCTGTTGACTGACATGTTTAACACCGCGTGCCAGGTGGCGCACGCACAGTGCCAAAGATTGCACGAAGAGCTTGACGAGGCACGCGTCGAGAAACAGGGAGTTGCGCCCCTGTTTAGGCCGACTTAGGCCCGACAAGTTTTCATGTGCGTATGCTGCCTCCTGCGGGGGATATAGTTTGTAGGTAGCCGTCGTGTCAACTCGGACACGGCCAGGCGAAGAGACAAGCGCTGCAAGCGCAAGCTGGCCCGAAGCTTGCGGATAGCGCGAAGGTTGGGGCATGGCATTTGAATACCAATTTTGTCCAGCAGAGCCGGGGGCGCGAGCTTTCAAGCATTCGAAGTATTGTTTGGAGCAAGCTTCTGTTCCGCTTATCTCTCCCTCTCTCCCTCTCTCTCTCTCTCTCCCTCTCTCCGTCTCTCTCTCTCTCTCTCTCTCTCTTTCTCTTTGTCTCTTTCTTCCCTTTCGCTTTCTTCCTGTTTTTGGTTTTGTTTTTCTTCAACTTCTCCCGGATCGCCGCCATAGCCTGATTCAGCCCGGCAGGGAAAGCTGCCCAACTCCCTGGAGCAAAGCGAGGCAGTGAAACACGGGGGCTGAAAGGGCCAAACGAAACTTCAGATGTGACAGCCAAAGCTGACTCTTTCTGCAAGGGGACCCTGTTTTTCCGAACACACCAGTTTTCCGACCAGTTTACCTTTTGGTTGGGTCCAACAAAAATCGGTTGGGGTCAAAACAAAAGGGTCACCCTTTCTGCAAGCCAACCGAGACATTTTCAAGTGCTGCATGGCCTGCTTCTTACCGGTTGCGCACGGAATGCACGAGCGGACGTAAAACCAAGATTTTGACGTATCAAGCCTTCGCCCCAATAAGGGTGATTCCTTTCGCAGCCTCATGTTTGCATAATTTCTCCGAGCCTCTATCTAAAGGATAACTCGCCCGCAGGGGTAGGAAAGTGATAGTCGGCTTCCCTTGTTTTTTTTCCGGCAATGTTTCCACCCACTTCTTTGGATGCTTAAATCTGTTTGTGAGATTATTTCGGCGGCAAGCAATCCTGGACTTTTCAGAGCCAGGCAGAAAGGAACACAGTAAGTCTATTGTGTGAGGGTCTTCCAGGCAGCTCTGCACTTGAGCCACAGCTCAGGTATGCGAGCCCGGCACTGAGATCTCGCTTCCACTGCGCATCACTGCGCATCGCTCGGAAGCAGTGAGCCCAAATGTCCATGCGGATCCGCTTCTCTACTCAACATTTGAGGGCTTTTTTTTGTTGGCAAGGTCCGGCAAAGTAGCTGTTTTCAGGTTTTATGCAGTTGTAATCTTTCGCAGTTTCGCGTCTGACAAATTATGACAAAAGTTCTTCCCTGCTGATTTGGTTTCGGTGCACGCGGAGCACGCTGCGCGCTCAGTTGAGAGCCGAATGCACCGAGGCCCGTGCTGGGAGTGATCCTTGGCTGACAGGTGAGGCCTGTGGTAAGCATCTCCTTTCGGGCCAGCATGAGGTTCCTTGTGTGCTGTGGTGATGCTTAAAGTTTTTAAAGGGGGACATAAAAGCAGCTCTGTGGGTCCTAACCCAAAGCTGCGGGTTTGAGGGGCGTCACCTGAGTGTCATGATCGAACGACTTGGTGACCTGGGTTAGGAAAGGGCCATAAATCTTGAGGAACTGAAACGGCCATCCGCAGAGGGTCGACGGATTCGTCAAATGCAACACTAGGTTCCCGTCCAGTGAAGGATTCCTGTGAAATGGGACTCCCCTCCAGCAACTCAACAGGTCAAAAGGATCAAAGCCAAGGAGCTTCGACACACCGCGCTGTCTAAGGAGCGTGCCCCACTTGTGCACCAGCTTTTTGCAGGAGGGGGAGGGCGCTGGTTTCAGGCTCCCGTTGGCTTGGGATATGCGGCGCAAGCTAGGAGTTTAATCAAAATGCGCTCACCCATGAAGGCATCTTTCTTGCGGGACTCCTGATTTCGGGCTTGTTGAGTTGCAGGAAAGTACCGTAGAACAGTTGTTTGATCTTAAGTTATTTGAAATAGTTAGGCCCAAGGCAGAGCATGGGTGTAGCTGACGCCCGGCACTGAAGGCAACCCCCGTTTCGCACCCGGACCACCTTTCAAACCAGCCGCAGGGGGCAGGGGGTCCTATATGGCTCCAAAGTGAATCAAAGAACGCCCAACAATGTCGAAGGTGCGATTACCCACTAAAATGGTCAACCAAAGGAAGGGTCTGGGTAGCTGGGCTCTGTTTGGCAAGAGGAAAGGGTTGCTCTTTCCCCAAGAGTCCATCCGTGGAGTTCTTGTGTCAGCAGTGGTTCATGTTTCAACGGGTCAGTTGGCTTTTACTATGGGCGTCAAAGGGAAGAGAAAAGAAACTGCAACCTAAACATGAAGGGCAATCCTCCCTCAAAGGAAATGCGCAAGAGTCTACTGAACTTGGCATGAGAAACCCCCACGCCGCATGTTCTTTTGCAGGAATCTGATGTTTGAGGAATCCCCAATGTGGCATTTCTTCTTTAATCCGTTTTGCTTGCACGGCCTCAGTGAAGCGATTACCCCCAAGGCTGTTCGGTCGCAGCGTATGGGGAATTGCGGGTTTTGCGACCCCAGATTGATCGAACTTGCGGATTGGAAAGGGGGCTGGGTTCCCAAGAAAAGTGAAGCAGATCATAGAAAGCTAGGCTATTTCTGTTTAGGATTGGACTTCCTACTTTCTTCACGTGTGATTTCTGGGGTAAAGGCCAGTTTTTATGGCTTCACTTTTCTCGGGGTTGTGTTTTTGGTTCTGGGCCCACACAAGTGGTGGTTTTCCCGTTGATTTAATAGAACCAAGGGCACCCTGAAAAGACAAACCCATTTGTTCTTAGCAATATGTGGGAGAAGCCTGATTTGACACCGCGTTTGCACATCAGTTACGTAGGCAGCCTAGCTGTGACGAGGTTACCCGCGCTTTGCGCAATGTAGGCGCCTTGCGGCACAAGAGCAGTCACTGTAGAACCCCAGTCCCCAAGTCCCCGAATTACCGGTTTAAATCACTCCCCTTTATAAAATCCACCGGCGGTTTGCTTTTCTCCGAGTGTCCGATTTTCGCAGCGAGCGAAAATCAGGAGGCAGAGGAGGCTGGCCTTCCACGAACTTGCAGCCTGCAGGACAGTGGCAGTGGGTTCCCAGTTGGCCAGGCGGTCAGAAACCCGCCGGTCTCACGAGAAGAACTTCAGATCCATTGTAACTAGGTCCCACAGTGCCCTTTTACTCCTTTTTGGGGGGAGGGTTCGTACCCTTCTAACCTCTCTACTGGAGGACCTAGTTAAAGACTTCCCTGGCTTGCTTGTTTGGAGCCACACGAAGCCTCAACGCGCCACGAGCCGGCATCGCACAAAATAGCAGCTGCCTGGTTGACCTATGAACTGTCAGGATGTAAAGAGATCGGGGGATAGGAGTTTAAGTGTGTTGCCATATTGGTGAGGGGCTCCACATAGTTGTTGTGTTTCCAGGTATGTGGAGAGAGCCGCAAACGGGAATCCGACAGGACATGGAGCCCGTGGTGCTCAAAGCCACCAAGAACCAGGGAGCCGCCTACGTCCAACAGCTGCAAGGCGCACAACTTGCTGTGTCGTTTTTTCGGGATGTGTTTGTTGAATCTGGGAGTTTGGATGCATCCGAGCCCTTGGTCTGTTAGTGCCCTAGAAGGTGCAGGTCTGCTAGTGCCCTGGAAGGTACAGGTGTTTTGGGCCCCAGTCACCCAAACCGAGCATGCACTTGGGGACGGCCGTTGCCATCCCTTGCAGTTTTTGGGGTACCACCATGTGAGGAAGTGTTCGCGGACCTCAGGTGGTTTCCTCTGTTTTCAACCACTTGGTGTAACCCTAACCCAAAGCAAACAAAATAGTATTGGACGCAACTGGTGCCTCCCATCCACGAACATGCAGCCCACCAGAGGGTCCATTTCGACGGAAAACGGCCTTCCTGTAACCCCGGTTGCGTGGCAGTGGGTGGGACGCAGCCTTTTGTCAAGCCATGCACTTTGGTTGCGAGCATGGAAGGTTGACCGTACTTGTTCATGAGTGCCTAAGAGGGTGGCTCAGGCGGCGTGAGGGCACCCGTTTCCCCACCACTAACCTCCAAACCGGGCTCCAAACAGCCAATTAGTGGGAAGCTGACTAAAAACCCAACCCCCCGAAAGAACCCAACCCCATCCCCGAAAAGCCCTGAGAACCCAATCTCTCCACCATGTTTGGCTGCCAAAAACCCAATCCCTCGAAAGAAGAGGTTGCCAGCCACCACGAGCCAACTCCTAGGGTGCTCGCGGGGGCACGCCACCCAGCTCCTGAGCGTCCCAGCGCGCACGCCGGTGCGCGCGGTAGCCGCGCGTCTGAAATGGACCGGGATGGCTCGCCGCAGGTTGGGCTTCGGGTTCAGTTCTGTTTGGGTTTGGGCTTGGGTTCGAGTTGGTTGGTTGGTTGGTTGGTTGCTTGGTTGGTTGGTTGGTTGCTTGGTTGGTTGGTTGGTTGGTTGCTTGGTTGGTTGGTTGGTTGCTTGGTTGGTTGGTTGGTTGGTTGGTTGGTGGGTTGGCTGGGGTTGTTGTTTATGGCTAGAGGCCCTCCACTTTCCTCCAAGAAGATTTTGAGTCTTGGTGGGGCTGCCGTCCCCACACACTAACCGTCCTCCTAGTTTGGTTGATGTAAATGCTCATCGTCCTCTCACAGTGGGAATTCGGGTGCTAAGATTAGATAGCCATTTCATTGTCATTTTACCCAGACGGAAACAAAAGCAGATGAGTATTCTTTCACTGTCAGGCCCCTATTTGATTCTCATTTTTCTGTCAGGTTTGCCCAAAATCCGGGGACCTCTCCGCACTCGCTAGCCCAGGCTGACGCCTTGAAGCACCACTGTCAAGCAGCTGGTCTGGTGGAAGACCAGGCCTTCATTTGGTGCCTTGGCTGCTGTCCGCACCGAACAATCGGGACGGGGTTGATTTTTTCAACGGGTCAAATCAACTTTGGTCTCAATGGAAATGAACGAGTTCGCTCTGGATCAGACAATCAGGGCGTGCACGGTGCACGTGTAAGGTTCGACACATGCCCACTTCCAGGTCTCACCTTTGTATCCTTCATTTGGAAGTGTTGAGGTGGCCTTGTGGTGTGCAGCCATGTTGTGACAGGTTCTGAGGGCTGTCTTGACAGGTTCTGAGGGCATGTTGCGTGGTTTGCACCAATGACCTGGTAAGGGCTCATTCGTTCTTCAGTCATAGGTATAGTTGATAAAGAATTCCAGCCAGCTGTTCAGCACCCTATCCCCTTTCGCTTGGGTTCCCTGATCATGGACTCCACCAAAAAAGGCGCGGTTCTTTTTTCCTGCCGGGGAAAGGGCCTTTCTAGTTTGGGTGACTATGGTCATGGGTCCCTTAGGAGACTCAGCGGGCCCACACAGTGAGTTACGAACTCGCAGGCTGGGGCTGCTGTGTGCCAACCTCCACCGAGAGAGCCCGAAGACTGCCGAGCAGATCCGAGCCCAGCTGGCGGGGAGGGGCGGCTGTCACAATGCTTGGGATCATTGGCATTTCAGGCGCCCAAGTGTTCAGTGGTGTTCTTGCCCCTTGTCTTGGTTTGGCGTGTTGCCAAAACTGAAAAGCCAGCAAAACAGTAGCACTTTTTCTACTTGAGCCACGCGACCGGGGGTGTTGGCCATTGGCAAGTTGGAGGCACGAAAGTTGCAAACCGCTGAGAGATATACGCTGCCTCAGACGAAACACATGCCTTTCAGTCTTTGCACAGGCAAAGCCCGCATGCGTTCAAGCAATGACTCGGTGGCCCCCAAGAGAGTTGACTTTTGGAACTTGTCGTTTGCCCATGCTTCGGCCTAGCCAAGAAAATTCAGGAATGTGAGCTTTGCTGGGCTGTTCGGGTTTTCTTGGGTAAGTGAGTGAAACCGGATTCTGGATCGCCTGAGAAGGGAGCCGTTGTCTGCTCATTCTGTTGTTGATGTGGGAGCCCAATTAGCACCCATGAACATTAATGTTGCCCAAGGACAGCCACAAGAAAACGGAAGTCCCTATTTTTGCGGCACCATATCACATCCTCAAGAAACAGCCGCCTTTGACAAGGAAACCAGCCACCAACCAGTGGGGGAGACAGACTGATTTGGATCCCGTCCAGATGGTTTGAGGTTGGGCTTGATCCGATCCTTTGAGCATTGACGAATCGACTCATGTTGAGGACTTCCCCGCCCACTTCCCAAAAAAGCATCGACCTGCTGCAAAAAGCAGCCAAGGGTCGGACCTAATACAAAGCCACAATAATCCATCAACCCGGAAAAACAAGAAAACACAACGCACGGGGCAGTCTTGCAGGACTTCCCAACAATCCATCGACCTACCGCAAAAAAAAAAAAAAACAAGGGCCAGTTTTGCAGGTGGCCCGGATGCAACGCATCGGCTGCGTGCTGGCGCTCTTCTCGCCCTGGCAGAAGCCCAGCTACCTGCAGAGGGCCTGGTGTGTGGCGGAGCTCCTGGGCTGAGACCGGAACGGGTCGCTCGCCGGATGGACGGCGCTGTCGCATTTTCTTGGGTGGCCCTCTTTTTGTTAAAAGACACCGCAACATGTCTGGCGGATTGATGGCCTTTGTCGCCTTTCATATGGGGCCACCCAAAAAAATGGCCGGTTTCCTTTTGGTGGTGAATTCATGGTGGTTTTTGACATTTTTTGCTGGACCACCCAAAACATGGTCATTGTTTTTTTTTATTGGGGGGGGGTCCCTTTAAAACCCATAGCTGGTGGATTGATGGTGTTTTTGTTTCTTTGAGGACCACCAAAATCCTTTGGGTTTCCGGTTTAGAACCAACCACATGAACATACCAAGTCTTAAAAAGACACGCCATGAGGATTCCCAAGGAGACACACGCCCCGCATCAACCAAGAGTTAGTTTGACATTGTCCTGAGCATGGAATCCTTTTCAGCTTGATCAACCGAAAGCTTAGGGGTTGTTTTGTACCCACCTTAAGGCTATTTGTATTTTTGGGGGGTGTGGACCTGCAAAATAGATTGCAAGCGTCCATGGCGCGGGGTTCATTTCGCCGCGTGAGTCCACGTGCCCAGCAGCCTGCAAGCAACAGGCGGTCGGGTATGGTATGGCGAAAACCTTAATTTTCAGCTGCCCCAAGCCTAGGATTGGCTAAGAACCCATAATTATAGCTTGGGGATAATTACTATCTCGCGCAAATTCATCCTCCAGGCCTTGCACAGGTTTTGAAGAGGCAGGAAAGTCCATACTCCTTTAGCTCACTTGAAGCTAGACAAAGCTCGATTAACTTAAGTCAGGCTCATCGTCCTATGGTTCCTGACATGTTTGTGTTCTGTTGTACCCCTTTCCCCCTCCTTTCCTGGTTTCGCAAATGATGGCATTTTCTAGTCATTAGGCACAAGCCTGCCCCCCGTTCTCCTTTCGTGCATGCGCCCTGGAGTCATTTCTGCGGAAGGGGTGAACTACCAATGACGCTCCTCTCCGAAACGTAGGTTTTGCACTGCTCCGAAACGTGGATTTTGCACTGACGGTTAACAGCCCGACAGCTCAAATAAAGCCTTTTTCGGCAAGCGCAAAGCCACCCAGCCAAAAGGTGACAAGACAGCAGTACACCCGCTCCTTGTGCCAAGGGAGTGCTTTTGTCGGATCCATGCCTGGCAAATGGTAAGAACACCCGCTCACAGGCACCCGCTCAGCACTGTATCCATGCCAGCCAATTGGTAAGCACAATCGCTTACAGGCACCCGCTCAGCACTGTATGCATGCCAGCCACATGGTAGGCACATGAATCCATGCCAGCTAAACCATAAGCCAAATGCTAAGCGCACCCGCTCACGCGCACTGTATCCATGCCAGCCACATGGTAAGCACACCCGCTCAGCGCTGACCCATGCCAGCCCAATGGTAAGCATGCCCATTCACGGGCATGCGCACGCGCATGTTGGTCCTTTGAAGTAACTCATTTACGTGATTGAAGTGACACCTCCAGGCCCTAGCAAAAAAGGTACCCTTTCTGCAGCCGAAGTGCTGCGCCTACCAGCGAGGCAAGAACACGGACCCCAAAAAACACGTGGTTGTTAAGTGTGCTTTGGGCATGAAACCGAGAGGAAGCACTGAGCGAAACACAGATTCGGTCCAAAAAAGCCCGACGGTTTAGCCCAGCGGGTTATTTGAGCCTTAATTCTTTTGTGAAGCAGGGGGCGCGTGAGTCACCAGCCACACCAATCTGTTGCAAAAGCCTTTTTGGTTCCAACCACTCCCAGGGAAGCACGGGGCTTCATTTGTGCTTGCCCGCCTAGGATGGAAGTGGCGCTTTCCTTGGGCAAAGGCGGCTGCGAGCTCGTGATGCTGACCACGCCCGACGAGGCACACCCACGTAATGGGGACGTATTTGAATTTGCTGTGAGGTCGATGCAGACATGTGATCAAATTTGAGTGCACCCCATCTGACCACTCCCAGTCAGGAAGCCAGACCCGCGGCGTCAGCCGACCGCTCCAATACAACCAGTCTAAAGTACTGCACCTGCCACAAAAGCCGTTCTCAGCGTGCCCAAAGTACTGTGCCTGCCACGAAATTCAAAAACAAAAGCCAGCCACTTGTGGGGCAGTTATTTGTGCGGAGCAATTGTTTGAATTTCACCACATGTGTGCAAGCGAACCACCATTCAGAATGTGATGTCATGCCGAGATGATCTCACCCAAGAAACCAGCTTGGCGTGATCGTGCAACTGCCCGAAGCCCATGAGGAAGCACGTGCCTCTGGTTTGTTTCTTCGGTTTTGTCTTGGGGCAGTTGCAAGTGTTCTCTTGCGTGCTTTCAGACTCACAAGCACTCGCATCCACACTCATCAGGGCGCTACCCTTCTCTCAGTCAAGCTTGCTGCAAAAGCTACGCATGTGGGGTTTCCCTGTGCTTTACTTTGTGGTTATATTGTGACAATGTATGTGGCCATGTCCTTGGCTTGCGGTTCCTTTGTTTACGTTTGAGTGTGGTTCTTGGTCGAGTAGTTGGTGGTGTTGCTTTGTCGTACTGTGACTTTGTTTATTTTTAGTCCATTTGGTTTGCAATTGGTCTGGTCAAGTGGTTTCTGGCTTCTGTATATGTCGCGCGTCCCAACCTTGTTCTGTTTTCGCTTGCGCTGTTCTCCTGGCTCATTTTCCCTTAGTCAGGGTTGCCATCGACCAACTTCATAGGATTCTCTGACATGTGACTTTGGGATGAACTGGGGGCTTCTGGGGGAGCCCCTTCGGAGTCGTCGCGGCCTCAAGCATGGGCTCGATGTTGACAACCGCGTCAGCAGCTTGTCGTCATCGCGCTTCCGGGGCCTTTCTGCATGATGAAACACCAGCCCCGTCAGGCCTTGGTGCTTGCGGGCTCTCGTCCGCCTTGTTCGCATGGCACGGCCTCATCACGTCAGCCCCTTTCAGGCTGTCCTCATCCCGGTCCCCTTCCGCATGGCACGGCCACGGCACAGCCATGAAAAAGTTCTTCGTCGTCCTGTTTCCCCGCAGCACGCCCAACCGAACGCATAGATTCAACTGAACAGGAGTCCAGACATCACAAAACGACCTATGGAAAAAGACAAGAGACGCCCGCAGGTCGACCAACTGGGAGAAGCCAGCTGCTTTGGCAATGGCCTAGCACAGGCGTGGCGCCAATTGCTGGAACCGCCCCCTGGCTGCATGCCGTTTTACGGAGCCAAGTTTCCAAGCCAAAAGAAACAGCCCTTCGCTTTACTAAATTAGTAACCTTAGGTCCATTGTTTGCCGGAGGCAAATGTGCGGGTTATTTGCTGGGTTAGACTTGGTGTTGTTTGGCAACGTCCGTGTGTTTGTGTTTGTTTTGGTGCCGGTTTGTGAATTATGTTTCTCTCTTGGTTGCGAAGGGCGATTGCAATGACTTGGAGGTCTATTTTGCTTTAGCTCAACAAATGGCGCCCAACTTCGCACTCCATGAATTGATCAAGGGGCCCCCTTCTTGCTATGCTGGTCACATTGCATTTTTCTCCTTTGGCCGGGTCCATTTCTTAGGTGCGACTTGGAGTCGTCGGGGACCCCCGCCTTGCAACAGCTTTGCGGGAACGTGACTGCCAGGCCGGGCTTATAAGCAGTGTGCAGGGGGGGGGACGAGGACGAGGACGAAACGGTAGAAGACGAAGAATCGCTACCAAGGCGGCTTCGAAAAGACAAGGGCGCATTTCCTGGCGGCTGGGGAAAGGGGAGGGTTGGTGAAGATTTGAGGACTTGGGATGTCATATGGTTTTCGGGGGGAGGAGTTTCTTTTATTGACCTTATTTTTGCGAGAACTGAATAAACTTCAATAGCTTTCGTGAAAGTGGGTTCCATATTAGTATCATTAGAACGCAGGAGAGAAGTACCAGAAACTGAAAAATCACATTAATTTGGTTCGTAAGTCCGCCGCAAGCCATATCCTTTAGGCCTTACAATATTTGTTCCTTTCGCAGCCTCCCTGACATCCAGGAATTTCCTTACGTAAAGTTCCTTATGTAAGCCTTCCAAAAACTACGTAGCCCGGCCAACAGTTTCCAAGCGCGGGAGCATGGCCGAGGCAGTCAGAACAAAAAAGGACGACGCTTCCAGGCAGGCCGAATCTCTCGCAGGCTGGCGTCGCTGGTGCGGTCCTGGATGGCCACCACCGCTGAGGCGTGGCTCCGCAGGCAGCTGGCGGCAGGCTTGGCCTGGGCTGGCGGGGGGGGGAGAGAGCTGGCTGCAAGGATCTCATTTGAAAGGATAGGTCACGATGGGCTGTCGTGTTTTTTTTTGTTTAATCATTTTGTTTAGGTGAATAAAGAGTTTTTTAGGTTTTGGTTGCTGTGGTGTTTTTTTTTCCTTGTGGGTGGGCGGGGGCCAAAGGCTGAGGAGGCCACTCTTCCATCCACCAACCATGCATTGATTGCTTGCTAGCCTGGTAAATTGATTTCGTGGTGGGTTGGTTGGCTGATTGAATTGATTTTGATTTGAATTGAATCGGTTTAACTTGCTTTATTCATTCATTCATTCATTCATTCATTCATTCATTCATGAAGTCATCTGTTTTCCATTAATTCCGTCCTTCCTTCCTTCCTTCCTTCCTTCCTTTCTTCCTGGTATGCTTTATTCCTTCATTCCTTCAGGCATTGATTGATTCATTCATTCAATTATTCAATGATTCAATTATTCATTCATTCACTCATTCACTCATTCACTCATTCACTCATTCACTCATTCACTCATTCACTCATTCATCGGTTTGATTGCTTGCTTGATTGGTTAATTCATTGGTTGATTGATTTGACTGGTTGCTTGCTTGGTTGATTCATCCATCCATTCATTCATGGAATTGACTGTTTCTTTATACTTACTATGTATGTATGTATGCATGTATGTATGTATGTATGTATGTATGTAATGTAATGTATGTATGTATGTATGTATGTAATGTATGTATGTATGTATGTATGTATGTATGTAATGTATGTATGTATGTATGTATGTATGTAATGTATGTATGTATGTATGTATGTATGTATGTATGTATGTATGTATGTATGTATGTATGTATGTATGTATGTATGTATGTATGTATGTATGTATGTATGTATGTATGTATGTATGTATGTATGTATGTATGTATGTATGTATGTATGTAATGTAATGTATGTATGTAATGTAATGTAATGTAATGTAATGTAATGTAATGTATGTAATGTAATGTAATGTAATGTAATGTAATGTAATGTAATGTAATGTAATGTATGTATGTATGTATGTATGTATGTATGTATGTATGTATGTATGTATGTATGTATGTATGTATGTATGTATGTATGTATGTATGTATGTATGTATGTATGTATGTATGTATGTATGTATGTATGTATGTATGTATGTATGTATGTATGTATGTATGTATGTATGTATGTATGTATGTATGTATGTATGTATGTATGTATGTATGTATGTATGTATGTATGTATGTATGTATGTATGTATGTATGTATGTATGTATGTATGTATGTATGTATGTATGTATGTATGTATGTATGTATGTATGTATGTATGTATGTATGTATGTATGTATGTATGTATGTATGTATGTATGTATGTATGTATGTATGTATGTATGTATGTATGTATGTATGTATATGTATGTATGTATGTATGTATGTATGTATGTATGTATGTATGTATGTATGTATGTATGTATGTATGTATGTATGTATGTATGTATGTATGTATGTATGTATGTATGTATGTATGTAATGTATGTATGTATGTATGTATGTATGTATGTATGTATGTATGTATGTATGTATGTATGTATGTATGTATGTATGTATGTATGTATGTATGTATGTATGTATGTATGTATGTATGTATGTATGTATGTATGTATGTATGTATGTATGTATGTATGTATGTATGTATGTATGTATGTATGTATGTATGTATGTATGTATGTATGTATGTATGTATGTATGTATGTATGTATGTATGTATGTATGTATGTATGTATGTATGTATGTATGTATGTATGTATGTATGTATGTATGTATGTATGTATGTATGTATGTATGTATGTATGTATGTATGTATGTATGTATGTATGTATGTAATGTATGTATGTATGTATGTAATGTAATGTATGTATGTATGTATGTATGTATGTATGTATGTATGTATGTATGTATGTATGTATGTAATGTATGTATGTATGTATGTAATGTATGTATGTATGTATGTATGTATGTATGTATGTATGTATGTATGTATGTATGTATGTATGTATGTATGTATGTATGTATGTATGTATGTATGTATGTATGTATGTATGTATGTATGTATGTATGTATGTATGTATGTATGTATGTATGTATGTATGTATGTATGTATGTATGTAATGTATGTATGTATGTATGTATGTATGTATGTATGTATGTATGTATGTATGTATGTATGTATGTATGTATGTATGTATGTATGTATGTATGTATGTATGTATGTATGTATGTATGTATGTACATGTATGTATGTATGTATGTATGTATGTATGTATGTATGTATGTATGTATGTATGTATGTATGTATGTATGTATGTATGTATGTATGTATGTATGTATGTATGTATGTATGTATGTATGTATGTATGTATGTATGTATGTATGTATGTATGTATGTATGTATGTATGTATGTATGTATGTATGTATGTATGTATGTATGTATGTATGTATGTATGTATGTATGTATGTATGTATGTATGTATGTAATGTATGTATGTATGTATGTATGTATGTATGTATGTATGTATGTATGTATGTATGTATGTATGTATGTATGTATGTATGTATGTATGTATGTATGTATGTATGTATGTATGTATGTAATGTATGTATGTATGTATGTATGTATGTATGTATGTATGTATGTATGTATGTATGTATGTATGTATGTATGTATGTATGTATGTATGTATGTATGTATGTAATGTATGTATGTATGTATGTATGTATGTATGTATGTATGTATGTATGTATGTATGTATGTATGTATGTGTATGTATGTATGTATGTATGTATGTATGTATGTATGTATGTATGTATGTATGTATGTATGTATGTATGTATGTATGTATGTATGTATGTATGTATGTATGTATGTATGTATGTATGTATGTATGTATGTATGTATGTATGTATGTATGTATGTATGTATGTATGTATGTGTATGTATGTATGTATGTATGTATGTATGTATGTATGTATGTATGTATGTATGTATGTATGTATGTATGTATGTATGTATGTATGTATGTATGTATGTATGTATGTATGTATGTATGTATGTATGTATGTATGTATGTATGTATGTATGTATGTATGTATGTATGTATGTATGTATGTATGTATGTATGTATGTATGTATGTATGTATGTATGTATGTATGTATGTATGTGTATGTATGTGTATGTATGTGTATGTATGTATGTATGTATGTATGTATGTATGTATGTATGTATGTATGTATGTATGTATGTATGTATGTATGTATGTATGTATGTATGTATGTATGTATGTATGTATGTATGTATGTATGTATGTATGTATGTATGTATGTATGTATGTATGTATGTATGTATGTATGTATGTATGTATGTATGTATGTATGTATGTATGTATGTATGTATGTATGTATGTATGTATGTATGTATGTATGTATGTATGTATGTATGTATGTATGTATGTATGTATGTATGTATGTAATGTAATGTATGTAATGTATGTATGTATGTATGTATGTATGTAATGTATGTATGTATGTATGTATGTATGTATGTATGTATGTATGTATGTATGTATGTATGTATGTATGTATGTATGTATGTAGTTTAACGTAATGTTAATGTAATGTGATGTAATTACTGTATGAACTTGTTTGGTTAATTCCCTGGTTGATTGATTGCTTGATTGATTGGTTGGTTGGTTGATTGATTGATTGATTGATGGGTTGACCGATTGACTGGTAGATTGACTGATCGACTGATTGGTCTGACTAGGTTTGCTTGGCTTTGATTGGGTAGGAATTGATTTCATTGGGTTTGGCTGGTTGGCCGATTGATTGGGTTCCTTGGCTGATTCGTTGATCATTGGCTTCAGCCAGCCACGGGCAGTCGCGGTCAGAAAGGAGCCCGGGAACCGCGCGCGCTCGCGGCTGCCTGCGACGCAGTGGGCTGGCTCTTGCGGGAGGCGGGGAAGCGGGGAGGCGCCACTTCTTGGGTGGTTTGAACATCTTTTGGGTCAACTTGGGAGGGTTCCCTGAATGTCATGCCTGAGCTTTGGAACCCAAGGAGCAGTTGCAACCCCAGGAATCAAAGGGAACACGCCTAACCGGCGTCATGTACCTATGGTTGCTTTCCGATCTCCTGGAAAGCTATATGGTCCTTTCGGCTACCACATGGTTATGGCTGGATGCTCTACGGGCAGTGTTACATCTTTGTACATGACTTATCGACTTTTTGTGATCCATCCTGGTCCATCCTGTGTTTGTTACACCCCCCCTTCAAAACCAAACGGAGCAAAATTGGGATCGGGCCTGGGCATGCGCTTGGCTCTTGAGGTGTCGCTGCACCACCGCGCCGCCGCGCTGCTGCAAGATGGCCTGCTTCTGGCTTTGGCACCTCAAGGCGAGGGACGCTTGCCTTCCCCAAGACAGCCTCAAAGAAAGTTGTTCAGCCCCGAGTATTTTTCTTGCGGTATTCTAGTTTGAGCCCATGTTGCGACATACTTTCAGAAGGCTAGCCTTGCGTATTAGGCCCTTTGCGTGAGTGAGCCGATTGTTTTGCAGAATATGTAATGGTTGGCAAATCACCGGCCAAACGTCGGGCTATTTGCAATTGCCGTGATACCAGGGCCTTGAAGTGATTGAGATGAAAATCCTACAGGTGCTTGGTATCACAAATGGAAGTCACCGGCGTGGAGACTTTCCCGCGGCAGGCTCTCACTTGCTGTGCTGCCTTGGCATGGGCGCTTGCACCGGCGACCAATCGGAGCTCCTTCAGCCGCCATGGCAGAAACAGGGGAGAAGGGGAAGACTGGTCAGAGTTGCGTCGCGACCTCGCCCTTTAGTGAAGGTTCTTCACTTTGGAGCGGCTCCATTGTTCCCGGTTGGTGAGTCATCATAGTTTGCCCAGATTGGTGTGGGCTTGTTTGGGGATTTGAACCTCGATTGCGGCCACGCCTCCAAACCATCCCATCCATCAATTAAATGCAATTTCTATCCATTGTCCAGTCTTGTTCATGGCCGGCTCTGAGGCCTTTCGGCCATTTGGGGGTCCAATGCCCCGTTCCCCCACCGCGACCTTGAAATATGATGCCACTCCCGCAGCCTGGTTCCGATATCCGAGAAACAATATTTTGATTGCCATTGTCAAACAACAACATCTGATTGCATTGGGGAACCCGCGGGTTTTCGTGCATGTCCTGAATTCAGCAGGCCCTTTCTGCCTTTCTGCTCCCTGCTTTGTGTTTTCAAGCTTCGCTCGCGCGCGTCAGGCCCCCCAGCCCCAATTCACACCCCTCAAGGTATGATTTCTAGGCTAGGAGCGACTTGGGGGGCAGTCATCGTTGAATGTGAGGGGAGAACGCTTCCAGCTTGGGTGTAATACTGGAGCTTAAATTTCGCACGGTCCTTGGGGCTTCCAAGGTTCCGAATGACTGGGGCCGGTGCTGGTCATTGGTTTATTGTCCTCTTCAAGTTGAAGGCGGACACAGTTGGCCAGTGGTACAATAAACTCAAGGGAACTAGTATCCCGACCGCATTAATCTGTAGGTGGCCGTTCACATCGGCATGAGAATTAGACAGACACATATTGCATGTAAATGGAGAGAATGATTTGGTGTCCAAGAGGGGGGGTTCAAGTTTCCTGAATGGTTTATCGGACTTACTGGCAGTGAACAGTGAGGAAAGTAGCATTTCTTGGGGTTGACCACCCCTCCGGACGGCGGTCAATTCTCGGAGCTGTTCCTAACGAATAAAATGCCCGGGGTCAACGGCCTTTGGTTTTCTTTCAGCCAATTGCCTGATGGAACTACCCTGACAGACACCGGGGCTCCGAAGCCATGGTTTGTGGGCCACTCGTCAACTGACATGGACACTGATTGGAGGTTCCTGGGTTCCTGCACCGTGTTTCTCTGCAAGGGGCCTTGTGTTTTCCAGGTTGGTGGGGGGTATGGCGGACTTGTGAGCAGGCCATGAACCGAGAGCTGAGGTCCTGCGAAGATGCCCGAAGGGGGCACGAGCGCATGGGAACGCTGGACCCGGTCTTCAGATTTGGACATATCACAAGAGGTTCGGTCCATTTGCGGTGAGGCTCCACTCCCCTCTCTGGGCAGTCTAAACTGTCGCGGTTTGTTTGGGTCCGCTCTCAGTAGGAAGGTGACCTTTGTCCGGATGGCACCGCGGTGGAGGAGACTATGGCTGGCGTAGACCTGCTCTCCAACATCGGGGTCAGCCCGGCATCGTTTGACATGCAGCCTCTATTTCCCCAGTACGACAATCCTTCTTCATTTACAACATTGGACCATCCAGCGCGGTTTTTGCTTACTGGCTTGTGGAACCATGGATCGACCTCAATCCCAAGTGGAGGTTTAAGCGGACTCGTGGCCAGAGCGACGTCACTCTTGGGGACTGTCTTCTTGCGGCTGGTTCAGCGCTTGGGTTCCCTTGACACAGGCCGCTCGATGGCGCTCTGGAGATCTTGAAGGCCAGCCGCCAGTGGGCTTATGGACGAACGATTGTTGACCTTATCTTCCATTTGGTGAAGAATATGTTGTTATTTTCCCCTGTTGGTTTTAAAGGGAATCTATCACTACTGGATTGTTTTAATTGTTCCAGGGGACTCAAGCAAATTGAGGTTATCGATCTGTCGTTTGTTCAAGGACTTTGTCCTGCCAGGCCTTCTCGCCCGGGCAATTTGTCAGTACCACCAGGATTTGGAACTCCAAACTTCGTGATGGCTTGAACTGCGAGATCAACGGTCAGGGGACTTTGGGGATAATTTTGGTTCGGTGTCATGCAGAGATCTAGCGCTTGTGACTTCAGTGCGAATCTTGAACCACCAAATCCATGCCTGCATCCCGGATCTTTGGACCTTGGGACTTATAACATTTACGCCTCTGGATATTCTCCGGAGCCCCATTCAGTGCCAACAGAACTGTGGGGCCACAACGATGCCAGGCTTTCAATGTTGCCTGTGCTTCCTGTGCTGCCGCTGGTGTGTTAAAGCTGGTTTTGACAATGTTTGGAGGCTTTGTGTGCTTTGTTGCGCCATATTTCCTGCAGCTGTTGGTCTTGCTTTTGGTGCGGCTGTACTGTGGGTCTTGGGCATGATCCGGACTGTATTTCAGTCCTTGTGTTGGATTCCCGCTCTCTTGCTTGTTTGTCAAGCCACCAAGGGACAAATCGCACACTGGATGAGATAACCACGGCTTTCGGACTTCCCCCACCTCCGCGTCTGGCGCCAAAAGCGCAAAGGTTCAGAGGGCCATGGGTCAAAACCCCTTCCCCCCAGTGAACATTCCAATCAAACCACTAGGTTCCAAAACGGGTGGTGAATTCACCAAAAACCCCAAAATGGGATCCCCAAACCTTGTTGACAACGGCCAAGGGCCCCCGTCTCGTGCGCGCGCGCGTTCTCGGCCTTGCAGGCGCCGCCGGGGCTCTGCAGCAGGCGCTGGCCATCCGCCGCAACACGCGGACCCTGGAGAGCGCCGAAGGGGCTCGGGGGCTTAACCCGGGACTCGGGGACTCGGGGACTCGGGAATCGAATGTCCGACTCTGCAACCAAAATGTGAGACACACAGACACCCACACACTTATGCATATGTAATATATCTATATCTATATATATATTTTATAATATATATATATATATTTATTTATTTATTTATGTATGTATTTATTTATTGATTTACATAGTTTTTAATACACGTGTTGGCGTATTTCGTTATTGTTTCATATGTTCTTGTTTTATTCTTGGTTTGTTTGTTGATTTCTGCACATAGAGTCACTACTTTCTTGCCGGCCCGAATTGCCAATTTTCTTCCAGGATGTGAGTTTGCTTCTCAGAACTGTCATGTGAGCCACGTTCGAGCGGGAAAGATCATGACCCCCTGATCTCAGGCCGAAATGAGTTTTGAGGATGGCTCGCTCGGCTGAGTGATCCGAGCTGATGCCAAACTCCGAGGCGATGCTTCTGCGGAATCTGGGCCGGGACCTTGGACTGCGTGGCGTTGTTCGTTCGGGTAAGCCAAGATGTACAGATGTTAACATGTCAAAGAAGGTAGCACTGCACTGCAGCTGCGGAAGGTTTGCGGAAGGTTGCTCGCGGAAGGGAGGTTGTTGAATTGCTTTCATTTGCGTGGTGTTTGCCAAGCACGTTTGCTAGCAAACCGTGCATCGCGGAAGCTACCTTCCTCGCTTTCCAGAAGCAACTTGCCCGCGGAAGCACTTATATAGAAACATGCTCGCGGAAGGTACCCTTCACACCGCGGAAGGTTTGGCGGAAGGGTTTGACACGTCAATGCAATTTTTAAGGGAATAAGAACCACCACTCAAGTGGAGTCTGGCCTTGTCGGTTTCGGCTTTCTAGTCCACGGGGTTTCCTTTTCAGACCTTATGCCCGTGTGTGGTGTGTGTGTGTGTGTGTGTGTGTGTCTGCGTTTGTGTTTGTATCTGTGTTTGTGACTGTGTCTTTGTCTGTCTCTGTCTCAGGGTCTGTGTCTGTGTGTCTGCGCCTGCGTCTGCGTTTGCGTCTTCTGCGTGTGTGCCTGTGCCTGTGCCCGTGCCCGTGCCCGTGCCTGTGCTGGTGGTGGTGGTGGTGGTGGTGGTGGTGGTGTGTATGTGTATGTGTGTCCGTGTGTGCGTGTGCGCCTCGTGTGTGTGTGTGTGTGCATTGTATGGGTGCACGCGTGGGCGCGTGTACGTGTGTGTGTGTGTGTTGATTGTGTGGTGTGCGCGTGGCGTGCGTGGGGTGTCCGGTTCTGACATGTGTATGGTGGTTTGAAGGGAAAAACAGGAAAGCCCATCTTTAGGGCCCCCCTTTTGAGACATGAACACGTAAAATGTAGGAATATTGGTGGAGGTCCAAATGTTCGACAAAATGTGGCCCAAGTGCATTCATCAGTTTTCTCAACTTTTGGCTGATGACTTGACGGTATTCAAAGTGAATCGACCAGTTCTAGCCTTTTGGCGTTTCCAGTTTGACCAGATCGACCAACGTAACCCTATGATTTTCGGGGTTTGGGTTTGGTCATAGATCCGGAACGTCCTTTCAAACAATCTTGTCACTGTGTTGAAGCCGGCACCTGAGGCGTCGTCCGCTGGGCCAAGGGCAACTACGAGAAGGCTATTGAAGCCTATGGGGAGGCCAGACATGGCCAAAGCTGCGCATCCCAGAACCTGCGAGGGCTTATGAACAATTGAATTGACACATCGTCACCTCATAGTCAAGTCTCCACTTACCCCGCCCCAGGATTCCGTTGCTCTAGTTTTGATGACCATGCCAGAGAGCGAAGCTGAGGCGCGACGGGTCCGGGAATGCAACTTGGCAGGACCACTTCTGCCCGTGGAGTCAACCTGCCCCCCCGTGTTTGACGCTGAGGGTATCCCTTGCATATAATGAACTCGTAGGAATTGTCTACTTTGGCATCACACGATAAGGGCTTAGCCGCAGCCGTGCATGAGGCGCGCTTTTGGAACCGCCCGTGGTGGGCTTGACATTGGGATTGTTTTGAATAATGCAGCCTTTGCGGCCATGACAATTCCAATACCATTAGGTTTCCGCTCTCAATCTGGCTTGTGCGGAGGTCCCAACATATGTATCTATAATATATATACATATATATGTGGGCGTGTTTGCATACATGAGTATACACAAATTGGTTCGGGTTAACTGGTAAAGGAATAGCGGACCCACTTGATGAATGAAACTTAGTTGTTGAGTAGGAGAGTGTCCCATTTTAGAGGGAATGTGGATCTTTGAGGGCCCTTTTTTTGGTCGTTTCACAGCGAACAGGAAGTCGTTTTCTTTTTGGGGGGGTCCCCTAAAAAATGACACACCCAACTCAGGGCGCATGGAATCCAAGGTACGGGCAGCCTGTCCGGCGCTGATGGCGCCGTTTTACTGTCACGGCCTTGGGCCGACGATTCGGATTCGGCTGGACACAATTCGGCAAAGCGTGGGTGAAAAATAGGTGCCCAAAATGTAAGTAACCCTGGTAAACACGAACTAAAACCTGCGGTCCCCTGGTGGTGTATTTTGACCCATGCCCATATGACAACAGCCCTTGCTTGAGTTGTCAAAACCAGGCTGGCAGGGCGTCACATGTGCCGTGTTGCAAATCGGCTCGAGTTGCTTGAAATGGAAGGCTTCACCCCCGTACATGAGTCCAACAGTTGCCCCGGTGCATGATGCACCAACAGTTGCTTGTTGGTTTGAATGGCAACTTTTTAGTTAGCACGGCAACTTGTTAGCTGCTCAGGACTATTGCGTCTGGGAGGTTGTACCTTTCTGTTTTACACGATGGCCTCCCCATCTTATTTGGCAAATATTGGCAAGTGGAAGCTTTGCGCACAATTTGGCTTGTCCTTGTTTCTAAACATTGCCTTTAGGCAACGCTGGCGGGTGAACTTCCTCTTGTGTCATTGGAATTCTGAGAGCTGAGGCTCAACATTGGCTACGCAGAGGCCAACTTGGGCGTGGCACAAAGGGCCTTGGAGGCTGGCCCCAAGGTCCGAATGGATGGCCAACATTTTCGAGTCTTGGGTGTTGCATCGTTTTTGTGTCATGCCACCACTTGCCCGTGATTTGCATTTGATGTCCAGGCTTTTGTTCATGTTTAATGTTCTTCAGGTTGATCCCCCATTCTTTTCCCCATCGTTCTGTTGGGACATCACCAGGGTTCCCTGTGTTTTTGCCCCACTTTTCCACAACGAAGAATCCCTACTTAGAAAGAATGAGGAAAGTACAAGAAGAAGATAGAAGAAGGGCCTCAGATCATTTGTCATCACGCTGTCGCAAGTCGAAAGGCATTCGAAGAGGCGCTGAGTGTCATGGCATCTGTGGGAGCCTCAAGTAATGCTTGTGCTGACTTTCACTGTTCATACCTATGTCTTGCAACATGACGGCAGGACGGATCAAGTCATTCAGGCATCTATGCGGAAGACAGAACGAGCCCTCCGCGTGTTTCGTGGAAGGTGGAGAAAACACGAGCAGGACTACCGCGGCATCCGGGTACAGGACCTCCTCCCATTGACCAAGTTTCTGTTGGACAACGCTTTTTTCTGCGTCGGACGGGTCACGTTCAAGCAAATCCAGGGTGCCTCCATGGGGTCCCAGCTTGCGCCTGTTCTTTGTGCCATCGTTGCCCTGTTCCGCGAGCATGTGTTCATTCGCTTCATCTTCCACCTTCATTTTCCGGTTTTATTCACCGGCGGTACGTTGACAACAGCGTCATCATTTGTCTTCCATCTGATCTTGACAGTTTTGACGTCACGTGGCCCAGTTTCTACAGTGCGCGCATTATGCTGGAGGATGAGTCAGAAGAAGCTGTCTTAGGGCTCAACCTGTCCGTTCATCAACGTGCTATCACGTTTCAGCAGCCCGCCTCAACGCCTCTCCGGTCAGACAAGTCTGCAGGCTATTCACTGCACCGCTTCTCCGGCTTTGCTGCCCGGTGCCGGATCATCGTCAGCAACGTCAGGCCGTGGCAGTTAGTGCTTCCGCAACTTGAGGACCCAGTCGCGATCCACTCCAGAGCTTTGAGCGATGTAGGCCACCTAGTGCAGATTGCGAACCAGATCCTCGAAGAAGGGGTCCACTTCCGCGGAGCACCAGGCGCTTGCAAAGCCACCGCTTCACTTGAACAGTTCGATCGCAGGCGAGCAAAAATCACCGCCGGTTGCGTGCAATTTGCAATTAGGGCGGCTTCGTGTCGACTGAACCCATTTCAGGAAATGGTGCTTCTCTTCAGTGCGTTGATCTTGGCAGAACATCCGTCTAAGGCCCTCCGTCACCTCTGAGCTTCACTTCCTTGTTCGTCCAGACAAAATTTTCAAGTTGTCGCCCTCCAACTGGGGGGCACGCGTGTGTGTGCAACATGCTAGAAACAAGCACGAAATACTTGAGTCAGCAAGCCATCGTTGGAGCTGTTCGCGGGAAGCCGTCGGAGGGGTGCCTGTCCAGAAGAGGCCGGGGTCTACTAGTCTCTTGCCAGTTGCACTTTACCCGTTAGCAGGGGCGCACGGCATCTGCAACCCACCGTGCGCAACGAAGCTACGGTTGCAGATGAGAAGGGAACTGGGACGCCAGCTCCTGTACCTGCTCGTGGTGCAAAGTCCTTTTGGTCCCCCCCTTTAATCGCTGTTGGTTGTCGTGGCCGTGTTAAAGTCACTAGAGTGAAGGCTTCGCCATTTCAGGCAGGATCGGGCCGCGCTGAGGACAGTTTTTCCATTTTCCATTTCCTTTTGAACAACTCGCTAGGATCTGAGGTTTTCAATGACTCCCTGCACTTCTTCACATGTGACTTTGAAATAAGCAGTGTGTCTTGAGGGTATGTCCCCGCAATGTGGTATGTTGTCCTCTGCTTTGAGGGTTTTAAGGGGGAACCTTGAGGCTGTTGCTCGTTCGAGGGGTTTCCCACGTTCTGCGACAACATCATTTTTGAGCTTGCTGCCCGAAAGCCGTGCTTTTCTACCGGACGCCAGCTGTGCTCAGGCCTCATCCGGCGAGGGCCGCTACTCAAGTTTCGCAACTCTCCTGCACAAATTGGGGCTGGGGGTATGCTCGACATCGCCGGATTTGTGGGACCTCGGCGTCATGATTTGCTTCCTTAAGCGTTTCCGCAAAGGGGCACTGTTTTGTCAGCCCGGGCGTGCTGGGCAAAAATCGTCAGCGAAAAACTGCTCCCCCCGCCACAAACCTTTACATTTTTGCAGGGGACCAGTTTGACCATTCCGCTCAATTGTGGTTTCACCATTCCGCTAAATTGTGGTTTGGTAAGTCAGGCAAGGAAGAGCCTGAAAACAAATCCCTATGGCGGTCACGGGCCCCTACTATTTTGGCTGTGGGCCTTGACAGGAGTTGGACATAGTTGCACCCATCGTGCCATGTATCCGAGGTATTGCCGGAAGCGCTGGAGCTGGCTCCCTGTGGTGCCCGGCACTCGATCTAGAGCAAGTTGGCAAGTGATGCAAATATTTGGGGCCAGGCTTCCAGCTTGCAGCCAAACAAACAGTTTGGCCGAACGTCGCCTGGTTGTTTCTTTTGTGTTGGTAGGGTGATGTTTATCTTGGAGGTAAAAGTTGGACGCGCCGAGGAGGAGAAACTTGGGGGGCCTATCCTTTTCAAGGAACCTTTGCCTTCATGGGAGAAACGCGGAACCCACGAAACTTGACATTTGAGCTTACACGGCAAGCAGAGCCGTTTTGGCCCAACGGAGCCGGGCTGTTCAAAGGTACTCCTTAATCCTTACCTGACTTCCATTCGGTTAAGAATGTTTGTTATTTCCCCTGTTGGTTGTAAAGGGAATCTATCACTACTGGAATCATTTTTGTTTTTGCTTCCAGGGGATTTAAGCTAAGGTTACGCAAGGGGTTTTCTTTGTAGGGACTTCCCTGTAAGGATTATGGATTAGGATTGGCCAACCCTCCATTTTGAACAGCTAGTCTTTCCATACCTTCCTAGTGACGTCTGTAAAGGGTTTGGTTTTACTTGGTGATGGTTTCCTGGGTGAGTGAAGCCAGACCAGAGTTTCCAGTCATTCGAACAGCCCCGGCGGGGTTTGAGCAATGGTCCAGGAAGAGAACAGAACTGTGAAGCCATCGAACCTGCAAGATGCGACCGGCCTGGATGAGCTTGCTTTGGAGACTTTGCTGCCACAATCGCAGAATCTCACCCCAAACAAATGACAACTTCCTATATGACTATGGCGTCTTCTGGGTTTGGTTATTTGTGTTCCCCTGGTTTCCCCCTCGTAAATATTGTTGTACCCTTGATGTCCCCATTATGCACTTGGGTGTATTTTTTGTGGGTTCACTTTTCTAGGTTTGTTTCAAGGGCAATCACAAGGAAAAACCATCATATCATTTGCAGTCCCCAGTCCCCCTATTCTGAGATCATTTGGGCCTTTGTGTTTTTTGGGGGCGCTTACTCGGGTACGTGGGTGTTTGGGCGTGCTTGACCTGGGGAATTCTCAAGTACCCTCAGGTGCCCCTAAACCGCGTGTATGATTCGTAAGCGAGGTGCCCAGAAAGTAACTGGGGAAATGTATAGGAAGTTGGGTCCCGTACCCCCGCGAAACCAAAGGAGACCTTATCCATCTACACCATCCGCCTGCTTGCAGCGGACATGGTGGACAAGGCTTGGGCAGAATGTGATCGACTCGGCTGGTCAGGGGAAATGAAGGGGGGTGGCTTAAACAATAGATGTTGTAGCACATCTCAGTAGTTTCACTTGACTCAAGACTTGTTGGGGAAGACAAATTTGGTGGTAAACAAAGGCCTGGACTTTGTCAGGAAGTGAGTTTTGTTTTACTGAATCATTGCATTGTTTTATATTACATCCGATGCGGCTGAATGACGCAACCCTGAGGCCTCTTCGGGTCACTTGGGCACGCCCTTCGGGTGTGCTCCCTTGGCCAACGCGCTGTGGGGCAGGACAAGCAGATCTGTTGCTTCAGGGGTCCCGTCCGACTTGCTGTTCCCTTCGCTGGTTGAAACGGCCTTGCTTCTTGCGGGGAGTTTGGTAAAGCCGACCTACATGCACCGTGTACTTTGCTATGGGGATAAATGGTTCCGAAGGTTCCCCACTTGAAGTGGCCAAGAATATGACCAAGCCGATTTCCAGATGCGTCTCGTTTAGCAAACGCCCGATTTGTTTTCAGAGGATCATGCGGTTCTCGCCTTTCCAGAAGTGGCTGAACCGGGACCGCTTCGTGCTGTCGGCGGGCCATGCCAGTGCACTGCTCTATGTGATGCTGCACTTGGCGGGCACTGGCCTGGGGATTCCACATGACGACGCACGGCCCAAACATGGGACGGACGCCTTTGAACCATCAAGGAGGTTTTTCCGGAAGTCGCAGTTGTTTTGCATTTTTTCAGGAGTTTAAATATCCGTTGGGCAAACTCGACTTGAGTTTCTTGCTGGGTGGTGTGTTGCGGTGGGACATGCCAAAGGGAACCCTGCAGCGGATGTATTCGGAAGCCGTTGGGGCCTTTTTGGGGTTTCAATAGGGTTTACAAGGATTGTATGTGTGTTCATCCTTTGTTGGAGTGGTTTACAATACTTGAGTGTTTGTTGGGAACCCGGCAACTTTGGGGCTGAGCGGAGTTGATGAAGTGCCGGCGAATTTGAGACGGGATCCAGATCGCTGGGGAATCCCCTGATCTGGAGAAATCATGACGCGCCCTTCGCCCAGGATCAAAGTCCTTCACTGTTAAGGGTTCCCTTCTTTTCCTGCTTACTGCAGCAGGAGCCTTGGGGACATCGGCTAAGCAACCCTCGGAAACACCGGTGTTCGATTTTCAGCCTAACAGAGCAGACAAGTTTTGAGGAAGTGTCCATGGAGCGGCTGAAGCAGTTCCGGCAAGCGGGCTCTGTGACCCCTGGGCACCCCGAGTTCCGCATGACCAGCGGCGTGGAAGTCACCACCGGACCATTGGGCCAGGGCTTTGCCAATGCAGTAGGCACATTCGGCGTAGAAAAATGATGCCCCCTAAGAACTTGGGTGCTAAAATGTGCTAAATACTCATACTATAGTGTGTTTTCCCCAAAAGGGGGCCAAAAGGGGACGGATGATGGTTTTGACGCTTTCCAGACAATCTATTTGGCACCCATTCCCCCACCAACTACCGTGGAACCCATCAGAAAATCCCTTCAAAAGACATGGTCCATCTCCAGTCAAGGGCCATGTTAGCTAGTGGGAGGAGAAGACCAAGCCCAGGTTTGGTGCACAGAAGCCTTCTTATTTTGAAGTGCAGGAAAGCAGATTGCATGGTGCAAGCCAGCAAAAGGTCGATGTGGTTTCCTGCACTTTCTTCAGCACTTTCTTGAGGCTTCCTGATTTCTTGGATTGGCAGGCATGGCCATCGCAGAGGCTCATTTGGCAGCCCGGTTCAACAAGGACTCAGCAGCCAACATGGCCCTGGTTGGTTTTGTGCTTGCTATGCTTTCCGTTTCTGCAGTTCATATTTTTTTCGCTTCCTCCAGCTTGGTGTTGGCCATGCCCCCCAAAGATCGCCGGCATTTGCCGAGCTTTGGCAGGAGGGCTTTCCGCTCTTCGATAGCTACACCTACGTGCTGGCGGGTGACGGATGCCTCATGGAAGGCGTCAGCTCGGAAGCGGCCTCCCTGGCAGGCGAGTCATCAAGTCAAGTCGAGTCCATAGCCCCAGAGGTTTCATCAGGTAATCCTTGGTTGGAGCCGCGGAGCCCGGCGGTTTGGAGTTGCGGCAAAAGGGGTTCCGGCAAGAACCAGGGGTTCAAACCCGAAACCATCAATCCAAACCATCAATTGAGGGTGTCAGAACCCCCAACGTTCTCCACCCACACCATTGGGGGGCTCGAAAGGTTTACAGGTAGGTACTTCATTGCCATGTTTCCGTTGGTGGCATATTGCCGTGCTTAAGCCATGAACCAGTATACTGTTTGGTCGATGTTGAAACCCGCGTGGCTCTTCAAACTGGCTTGCGACCGGCCATCAAACAACAAAGGAACAAGTGGGATTGATCAGAGACAAACTTTTTCGATTTGTACCTTTGTTCTCGAGCCTTTTGCTTGCAAATGAAGACCTCACGATTTGGCCGGCTGGCAAGAACTGCCGCACTTGTGAGTTGCAGTGACCCCTTGCAAGGTTCGGTGAGCTCGCCCTTCCTTATACTTGGTATTTTGTTTTGCTGGTTCGAGGGCTGCCTTGAAGCGAAGGTGAAGGGGAAGACGCCCCCTTGCCCTGAACCTACCCTTCCGCACTCCCGAGCTGATTTCTTTACAACAAAGCATGCACTATGCACCGTTGATGGGTGGTGAGAGTTGATGATGGTTTGCGGTTTGGGTTGCAAGCTTGGGTGTGTGGTTTGGATTGATGCCAAATATTCAGGTAACCCTCAGTTGGTGGTCTGGATTGGTGGTTTGAGGATTTGCACTCCTTGTGCTCATCGAGGGTGGATGCTAAACCACCAACCACCAATCGAAACCACCCACAAGGGGGTAGCTAGAATAATGCATATTCCGAATACAGCGAGGTGTGAGTTGGTTGATTCGGGTTTGCGGTTCGGGTTGATGGCTTTTGTTTGTGGCGTGGGTTGACACGATGGCTGGCAATGGAACCCTGCTAAATGGCAACAATAACTAAATCTAGCGCTGGTTTAGTTTTGACCCACACCCAAATAAGGCAGATGTTGAATACAATAATTACCCTCTTCACAATCATAGCTTTGCCTTCAGGGCACCTGAAGCTGCACAAGCTCATTGTCTTCTACGACGACAACCAGCCCCTTCGAACGAACTGGGGGCACTTAGGTAGTTGCATGTTTGGAGGCTCTCAAGATTTTCTCGGGCTGATTTTGTTATTCCAATTAAAACCAAGCTTTGAATGGTAACATTGATGGGTCCACATCAATCAATGTACCAGTGTGTTGTTTCCAACGCCTTCGGAGCGAGCTAAAACGTCCCACAAAGGCAGCTGCCCTATGTCCCCGGAAGGCTGGTATCTGGGCAGTGGGTGACCAACCCCTGGGTACAGAATGGGTGGACATCCTAAAGAAATTACAGCCTATGTCTATCAGGGCCCGGGGAAGCTCATACCAGCCAGGGCTACAGGAGGACCAGGCAATGGTCCCCCCAGCGGTTTCACGCCTAGATGGGTGTCATTTTTTGGTGGTTGATTTTCCATCGCTTTGCCGTACTTGTTTTGGGCAGCTGCTCCTTAGGCTACAATTGGGAGCTCTGCTTTTCCTTTTGTTGGACCGCGAAAAGTGGCGGTTTCACTGGAAACCACCAGTCATGCAGGGGAAATCCAGTGACCCCTGATGAATGGTGTACCTCGGATTGTTCATATTGGGAAACCCCCATGTAGTGTATTGTTTGTTTGTCGGTGTTACGCTCAGTGGAAGCCACCCACAAAGTTCTTCGGTTTAAAGCGATGGAACGCCATCCCATC